CCAACCTGGAGGGCACTCCGNNAGGCGGGCACTCGGAAGGAGGTTGCTGGAACATCGGAAGCGGAAACGTGAGTCAAGGAGAGTCTGAGGAAACATCTCAGCCAGACCTGCTACACGCGACAAGACAAGTGCTCTTCTCGCATGAAACCTGGTTGAAAGGAGTTGATAGAGATGCAACGGACGACTCAGTTTCCGCGGCTGCAAGATGGTGCTTCCGCGCCAGAACGCATGGCTGAAGAACGCAGCGAAGACTGGGGGCCGTTACAAGTTTGGACATGGTGCAGCCAACCACGAAGAGCAGATATGCGCGGTCGAGTCGGATGGCTTGCAGCGCTTCCTCTGTTCGGCCGGACCGTAAGTTCTCACGAGAGCCGGTGGCCGCCACTAGGAATGCTAAAGACGTAGCGGCTACAAGGTTGTTGAGAAAAGAAGGTCGAGCATGCGACAGTCGAGACGAGCCAATGAGAGCAGACTGGCTTATCTCTGAGACTGAGTCGAGCAGCCCCGAAGCGGAATAGAGCGGGCGGTCGCTCATGCAGGATGATGCTGGCCCGCCAGAAGCAAAGCCATCTCGTGGATCTTTTGGCCCTGTCGCCAGAAGGATATGAATTAAGATTTGATGAGTATTGCTTTGCTGCAGCGGTGTCGAAAAGTGTACTGCCTACTTTGCTCATTCTTGCTCGCCTTGCAGAAACAAAGAAGAGCGGCGGTTTCGTCAGTAGCTGCAAAAGGCGGAGGGGAAGCGTGTCATAATCTGTGGTCAGCACGGCGCGCCGCTCTATCTCCCCCAGCACACGGTCGCTCTCGCAGTTGACAGCGTTGAATCTCGGTCGGCCGTTGGCTTTGCTCGCAGCGCTTTGAGTCGCTTTTGGTCCCTTCGCCGCATCAGCCAAGGGTCCTCGACTATCCACCTAACCACCCATAGCGCCGGACGTAACTCAAACCTTGTTGCGCTCGCCAGGCTAGGCGTGCCGTGTCAAGCCCCCATCTGCCCCAGTCAACTGTTGCGCTGCACGCGAGTGGCCTCATATACATAGCCCATCTCGCCCACCTGTCTTGTCCGGAAGGTCATCGTGTGCTACACTACATACCACAGCCACCACTCTTATTATTTTACCTCTTATCTACTCATCCCCTTTCTCACGCGACATACCTGAAACCCGGGTAGCCTTGCACCTTGCAGTAGACTGTCCACGTACCTGGTTGGCCAGCTATCTCTCTTATCTCGCAGCCCTTGTGCATCTCCGTTCCATCTCCAGCTTTGGATCATCTTCATCCCCCTGCAGACCGACATTTCGCATCGCTCCTTGCCTCTCCCCACAACCCACGATACCCTACGACTGGATACTTAACGACCACCCTCCACACATTTTTATGTTCTAGATCGACTCATCACACGACCAATATTCAACATGGCCACCACTTTCGCCCAGCATCCTCAACCTCTGCAGTCGCCCACCTACATCTACACCAGCCAGCCTCAGTATGGCGATTCGACTACTCCTCCCTCAAACAATGTCTCTCCTTCCAACCGCTCCGCATACATGCACGCCAAGCAGGTCCGCCAGCCAAAGCAGCCCCTCTACGTCCCTGCTGTCCTGCGCCCCACAGAGCTGCCTGGCTCGAGACAAACGTCTCTGACCCCTCCCCGCAGCGCACACAGCAGCATGGACATGTCTAGAGACGCTTTCAAGTTCGCCGCCCCCGTTGGTCTTGCATCTCCTCCTCTCAGCCCCGACGAGGATGACTCTAGATCTTTCGGCCCTTGGGGCCCCGCCAGCATCACCAGAGTCGTCTCCGACGAGTGGACCGAGACTCAGGGTGCTGTCACTGGCGCTCCCACAAGAAACCACTGGAAGCCCGACCACAGTGCTGCGCAGTGCAAGTCTTCCACATGCACTCGTCCCTTCTCCATGCTCAACCGTCGTCATCATTGCCGTCGTTGTGGAGACATCTTCTGCGCCAGCCACAGCCCTCACGCTATCCCCCTCGACCAAGAGGCTCGCTTCCACCCCGAGGGCACTCTTCAGCGTGCCTGCGACAACTGCTGGACTGACTACCGTGGATGGCGTGCTGCCCGCCCCTCGCGTCAAAACAGCGTTACCAGCAGAGACAGCAACGAGACCATGTTCACTCAGCCCGTCGGCGTTCCCAGCGCAAACAAGACATCGGAGGAACTGCCCATCGGCAGTGTCGCTCAGTCTGTCGGCGGCAACTGGAACTGGAGCACCTTCTAATTTACGACCTTACCGACTCTACGACACGCCAGCTTCACCTATACCCAAGGCTGAGCGTCAACGTTTTCCCTTATTCTTGATCATGCGTTTAAGCGCTTCCTTTCTCGCTCCTCTGACTGTCGCTTGGTCGCAGCAGAGTACGTTGTTTACCTTTCATTGACGCTTTGAGCGAATGATACCACTTATTGGATTGGGTATTAGCCCATTAATTCTTTCGTCCCTGTTTACTGTATGGCGTTCAAAGGCTTTTTGGGGCATCACAAATACACGGCATTGGTGCCTGGTTTGATATGGGAGTTTTGGTTTGCTTTTTNCCGGTTGATACCATGGATGAGGAGTTCTTTCTAGACNNTATGCAATTACACGATTATCTTCACCTNTCAAAATCATCACTTCCATCATATCAATGGTTTTTTGTTTCTCGTATTTTCTCCCTTTTCCGTCGTCACTGATTGACATGTACTGGAGGGTACGTCGTTTCTGAGCATGACGCTGGATGCGCTGAGACGCCGTGCCAGGGTAAGCAATTCCCAACACGNTCGGCAAGTGACGGTCGCAAAGCCGGATCCTGCACGACGATCCCCAACAGTGCATGACATGGCTGTCTCATGGTAAGCGGTGCCAAGCGTACTATACATGATGAAGATCGTCCATTATTTTTGTCCTTTCTGACGAGACTCCCCCATGCCCTCACAAGTAACCATGGATAAGCAAAAAGTAGAGGAAGCTTAGGTAACCACATGGCTCTGGCTTCGCTTAGTTGTTGGCTAAACGATGGTCAATCGAATTCCATTCAATGTTTTATTTGATGCTCCACAGCTCTATTGCTTCTTGAATAACAAGAACCCATGTGTGGAGTCCTTGTGGGAAAGGACCGAACACAATACGTTGGAGGGAAGAGGGCAACGGCTTGAGTGAGGCCAACACCGGTTCGCAGCAGGAAGGAGCTCGCACGAGCACTTTGCAGACTGTTGGAAAGAATTGGGCTGGGAGAAGAAGCCCCACACACAAAAGCATGAGGCCCAAGCCACGAGGAAAGAACAGGACCGAGCCGGAACAGAGACGCAAACCAGAGGAGAGAAGAGGATTGATGGCGGGATGTTGACTCGCGGGATTACTGGAGGGCTGGCTTTTGGTCAGCGGCACTTCTTCGATCAGAATTATTGCTTCTTGTTTGCAGAGTGTTCCTCTCTCACTCGACTCGTACGACATCCGCAGTCTTTTGGAAGCGTTCCAGCGAGCGACAATCTCCAAACTCGCCAGACTAGATTTATTGCTTCGTATGGGCCGAATCGTGGAGAACAATTCCCATATTATCGCTTCGCACCGTCGTCCTGCTCGCTGACGCAGTGTTTTGCGCGATAGATTATTGTTCGCCTGTGAGCCTGCCAATCTCAGCGTTGTGCAGTTGCCATGGACCTCGCGATCTCATTTCATCTGTCTAATTCGTCCATCACGACAACAAGCAAGCTATCTCTGATGCTTGACTCCGGGTTTGTTTTTCCTTCTTATTTTTCTCTCCGACACCTGGTAAAAGGCTGTTTGATGGAAAGGTCGTCCTCCCTGACTCGAATCCAAGCAGATCATTCGAGGTACCTGATAGCATGTACCATCTGCTCGCTGTCTCAAGCCTTAAATCTCCATCATCAACCTCGCACATGGCTCGGCACATGGCTTGCAAAGTCTACCATGACGAGGACCGCCACAATTGGAGGAAGCGATTCTCAAACTCAGCTCTTTTCGGGCACAAGGAGATCGATTTGGGGGATGCGCATCCTTCAGGAACATCGTCCTCTCTCGATTGCATCGAAGCCTTTGACATCACTCGACCAAGTCTGGAGCGCACTCCGACGGCCCTTCTCTAGCCCTTCTCGCTTTCTTCGAGTCCTCGGCCTTCTTCCCTTGTTTGTCTGCATATGCTTTCGCGGAGCTACAACCTTGAGGTTGTCCTCATGAATCGAGGACGTATGTGATCGCGATACCATGATTCGCATTTTCACATGAAGAATCCTTTGACAGGTAAAAGTACAAAGTCTGAATTTACGGCCGGCGCCCCGTGACGCTGGAGGAAGGGAAGAACGCCGATGGATGGTGCGCTTCCGAACTGATCTTGACTCCAGGCTTGATTCATGTTGTCGCCAAGAGGTGCTCTCCTGCAGGCTGCATGCCTTTCCCAGCACCGGGACAGAGTTGACCTTTGAAAATGCGCATCGCCCTCACGAAGCAAAATTGACGGAATCGTCCATGAACTGACATTCAACATTACGTTCTCGCTGCCGCGACTCTGCACATCGACAAAATCACATCACCACAGCTACTTTGATACAGAAAGATGTGTCCAAGTTCGTCGGCCGAACCCATCTCCGTCGGCCAACAACATCTGCTTGTCGAGGCAGCATCTTTTGCATGCTGAGTCACCTCTACAAGAAACAAATCGATTACTTGCGGCGTGAGAGGCCAATAGGACAACGTTGCTTTGACGCCACAGTGGCAACTGCTACGAACGCGTGGCTGAGCTGCCTATTCCCCGGCTTCTGGTACACACTTGCCTCTTCCAGGCTCTTCCATGCTGGTGATTGGAAATGGCATTGGACGAATAGGCGGCACGTTTGGAGCTGTTGTGGCTGATGAAGTGACGACTTTGTGTACACGTCTTTGATGTTGTTGCCTTGAGCTCTTGAAGGTAGGTATACATATAAGGTAGGTTTGTTTAGCAGCAATCCATTTTCTTTTCCTTCTCATCAACACATCATCATATCAATCATGTCGAACACTAGAAACATGAACCAAGCCAACAACTTCTGGGACTTTGTCGCCAGTCTGCAGAACAACCAGGGTGCATCTCCCTTTGCTGAAGGTAGAGGTCCTGCTGCCGACTTCGATCCATTCCAGGGTCAGGAGTTCTGGGCCCCTTGGATGAGCCAACGTGGCAGAGGACCTCATCATGGTCATCCTCACGGTCATCCTCACGGACCTCCCCACGGCCATCGCCACGGTAGAGAAGGCCATAGACCTCCGCCTCCTCCCGAGCACGAGGGAAACGTCCCTCCTGCTCCGCTAGCGCCTCACGTCGATGAGCCTGCTCGTCCATCAACTCCCCCAACCCCACCTGAAGTAGAGCCCGAGCATCACTCTCGTTCGAGATCTCCTGGTCGCGGCAGAGGCTTCTCTCCTCACCATGGGTCCCGCCACCATGGTGGACCTGAACACAGAGGAAGAGGTAGAGGTGGTCATTTCCACCGTGGAGGTCACCACCACAATCACGGACCTCGCGGTCCACCCAATGCTGGCCCCACATTCCCATTCGACTTGAACGCACTGGCCGAAGCTTTCGCGCCTGCGCTCTTTGGCGGCAGCAACAACCCATTCTCCAACCCCGAGACCTTCACCAAGGAAGCATCAAAGACCGCCACCAACAACAACACCAACACCAACGACGGCACCTTCACCCCCACAATCGACCTCTTCAGCACTTCCACCTCCTACATCCTGCACACCTCTCTCCCCGGCGCCAAAAAATCCGACATCGACATCACCTACTCCTCTTCCCGCAACAGCATCACCATCTCCGGCGTCATCGCCCGCCCCGACATTTCCGAAACAATGATGAACTGTTTAATCACCGACGAACGCAGAGAAGTGGGATTGTTTGAGCGGGAAATCAAGTTGGAAGAGGGCGTCAAGGTTGACGAGGAGAATATTGGTGCCAAGCTTGAGGACGGCGTGTTGAGGGTTGTTGTACNNCCAAAAGTCGTTCAAGAGGAAGAGGAGGGGTGGGAGAGTGTGAGAAAGGTTGAGTTGGAGTAAGATTCCCACAATCGACGATGTTATGAGAAAATGAACAAGAAGGAAAATCGGGTAGTGGAAAAAAACATTTGTTTGGATTGGCAGAAAGAGGAGGAATCAATGGGTGATTGCTTGTCAAGGTATATCTTTATTCTTTTAATGAATTCTCCTGTGTTTGTTTTGATTGCACTCTTCATGTATTGTGACATGTTGTTTACTCTTGTCTGTCCCCTGATATCGACACATCGGGCTGTCATCGAGCCCATCGACATATCAGCTCATTTGGCGTTATTGTCATGAGAAGATGCACAAGCCAATGCTGTTGTATGTGCCTGAACGTCGTCGTGTATCTATACACACCACTTGACATCACGAGCAGCTTGATCCGCCGAGGGCAGGAAGCACATGATCTCCTACACACAAGTGGAACCGATCAATGTCTCCTCGAATCAACGGGCCCACACACTGCCAGCTCTTTCATTGCCAAAGACCTGTTCTCGAGACCACAACCCTAGCCTGTGTATACACCCGTGAAATGTTAGAAATCCAACACCAGCCCTGGCGCGACTTCTTCCAGATCCTGTAGATCCAACCAAAGCCCATCATCCACCTTTTGACCTCCGGCCTCCCTCATCTCTTTCCTTTCTTTCGCGACTTCAGTAGCTCTAGCCACCGCCTCTCTGACAAACAAATCCAAATATCTTGCCGTCAAGGCATTGGCATCNTTGCCTATCTTCATGCTCTTGTCTTCAAAACTTTCATGTAGCAAACGCGTCAAAAGTGCCGATGGAAGCAGCGGTATATCATCTTTNTTACTGCCTATTGTTGCTGCAGCGGAGTGTGTGGGTGCAGCTGGAACAGGCTCAGGTTGAACGGCCGAAGACAATGGCGATAGAGAAGGCAGTCGCGTGGGTGATTGCGGCACTGTCTTTTGGCGTTTTGCTGCTGGTTCGAGGGTGGTGGGTGGAGCAGGACGTCTGGTGGGGGCGGCGGAAAAGTCGTCATTGTCTTCGTCTTCGTCGGAGATCATCAGGGCTTCGAGATCATCCTTGTCGAATTGCGCGCTGGCGGATTGGAAGCCGGAAGTGTGGGTGGTGTTCCATGCTTGTGGTCTTGTGCCGGATACGGTGGGTTTTTGTGCTGTGGGAGCAGGTCTGGAAGGGGCGTTGCCGCTGGAAGAAGAGGTTGCGCCACCCTTTGCAATAACCGGAGGTTTGAAGGGGCGTTTTGTCGCTGCTGTGGCGCCTACTTGGGAGGGTTGACGGTATGGAGGTGGCATGTTTGTTCGACTGGGAGACGGACGTCGAGAAGTGAGAGACCGCGTCACGCGTTGGGCGTCGGACTTTCCATCAAGGTGCTGGGAAGGTCATCATCTCGCAACACTCGTCACCCCTCTCTATCACCACGTTGGCGTCATCCAAGGACGACGCCTCAAACATGCACGAGTCCATAATGCTTATCGTCAAGCGTTTGATTCTCTATCAAGGGTGCGCTGTTCGTTGCCTTGCCATGATCACATGCTGCATCTCGATGCAAGGCAACCACCACTAATGCTCGCTACTCCGCCTCGAGAGCAATTCTTCCACCAACTGCATCGAGTCTCTTCACTGAGCAACCAAAGACGACTCACAAAGGAACCATGTTAAGAAAATATTCCACCGGCTCCTTCTCACCAGTTCCTCTCCTGCCATTCTCACTTTCCTCCTTCTCCCGTCCATCCATCACCGCAAGTGCCCTAACCTGCACTCTGCATCCCACAATCAAAACACCCACCATCCCAACTTCACAAAGTCATCGCTCAATCTACCTCACACACACACGAAAAAATGTGCACCCAATTCTACCGCCGCTACTCCTGCGGCGACAAACGCAAAGAAGACTTTCGCCAGTGCGAAAAACGTCGCGGTACAAACGTCCGCTGCGAACCCATCGAATCGAAATTCTATGAAGAAGCCGCACACTATTGTATCGAGCATATGATTACGGATCCGAGTGTGGGCATGAAGAGGGTTGTTGGTGTGAGGAAGGAAAAGAGTTAGATGGACAGAAAGGAAGTGTAGAGAGATCAAAGTGTTTAGATAGTCTGTGGGGGAATAATGGTTGTTTGCATCCTTTGGTGACGATGGTAATACTTGAACCTTGTTGGTATGGTATGTTGAGAGCGGTCCAGTCCTTCCCGGCACAAGAAGTTTACACTTGGCACCGTGGGAAAGTTTAGGAATAATGGTTATTTGAAATTCATATGGTCAAGGAGGTCATGATACGCACAAAATGCTGCAGAAAGGGACGGACGATTAATATACAAAGAGGTTCGACATTCACTTTTGTCCCAGACCCCCTTATGCAGCCCACTCGACAACCTCGAGAGCAAGCATGACCAACACAAGCGTGCTGGGTAAAATCCAGACAACGTAACTTTGCACCAGCAATTTGGACATGACACCCATAAAGACACCATTGAGTTGGCAGATTTGAGCGAGTTGGAGGGCAGAGGGTGCGCCAGTAAGCAAGAAGCAGACAATGACGAAGATGGGGTCGTCCAGAATGCTGACAGGCACGTATTTGGCGAAGATGGCGAGGAAGGGAGCCATGATTAGGGTGGGCAGAAGCATGCGGCTGACGAGGGCGGCGATGAGGAGGTTACGCTCTTCCTTCTTGCCTTCGGGAGTGGTAACCAGTTCTTCTTGAGGAAGGGTGTTGCGGGCGAGGTTTGCACCTAGGACGACAAGGATCAAGGGGACGGCGACACCACCACTCTGCTGGATGGCACGAGTGACGGAGTTGGAGACAAAGGTGTGGGGAGCGAAGAAGGTGTGCTGGAGTTGAGGCACTGAAGCGACAATCAGGGCAGCAACCATGGCCCAGAGAGGAGGGTTCATGAATGCCCAGACGCCCTTGAAGAAGCGGCCAGTGTAGTGAGAGACGGTGCTCAAGAACTTTTGCATGCCTGGAGGGAGCTTGGCGAACATGGTGTTGAAGAAGGACTTGATCGAGGCGCCAATGCGAGCGAAGAAGTGCGAGATGCTGGCCTTGACACCGGTAGGTGCTTCGGATTGATCAGTCGAAGCAGTCGAGTAGTTGGGGAACTGTGTCATGTGGCCAGTCGAGCGTTGACGAGGACCAAGATGACCGGCAAGATTGCCAGGTCCAGTACCGACAATGTTTCCGTTGGCAGGTGTAGCCATGACTTCGCCGTCGACAGGCTTCACAGTGGTGATGTCGTTGGACGATGAAGAGCCGATGGAAGAGACGGTGCTAGGAGAGTCGTCACCAGAGGCCGAGCCACTGATCTTCTTGGTCGAAGACGAAGCCTGCTCCAAGTCTTCTTCGTCAAGATGGTCGCGGTATCTACCCTCCTCAATCAGGTTGTCCCTCTCTTCATCAGCGATCTTGGTGTCCTCGACAGCGGGAGCGAGCAGAACGTTGTAGCCCCAGGTCCAGCGCACCAATTGACCGAGTTGTTGGAAGATGAGCAGGTACAAGATACCTCTTGCAGCAACTTCATTGTCGTTGTCGTGGGGGACGCGGTCCCAATGCAGACCTTTGAGAGTCTTGGATAGCGAGATGACGAGCGAGATGGGCAGCGAGTTGGAATTGCCAAAGACGCCCATGGCGATGACGAAGTTGGTCTGTCTCTTACCAAAACCAAAGGCCTTGGACATGAGACGAGCGCAGATCCACGAAACGAGAGTCTGGACGCAGAAGATGACGGGAATGACGGCGAGGTCGACGAGCTTGTCGGCATTGAGTTGCGAGGCGAGCTTGGTAAAGACTAGACACGGCGTGAAGAGTTGTACGTTCAGGTTGGCGACCATTTTTTGTGCTTCTGCGTCGAACATGCCTCGCCTGGCTACAATGTAGCCCGGCAGACTGACGCATACCACCTCGAGCACAGCTTCAAAGACCAGCAGCACCAAGTGGGCAAAGTCTGGATGTGACGTGTGGCCGTTCCCTAGGGCCAGCATGGGGAGCTCCATGGCTGCAGATGTGTATCTTCTCTCTTTCAGACCTTCCAACCCTGTTGACAAGACATTCGCGGCGTTGAGGCGGTATGAGGTTGGAGCAGTAAACCAGGTCATGGCGGCGTTTTGGGTGAGAGCTCGCTACGATAAGCTTCTCGTCGCGCCTGCGGTGGTGCTGTTGCTTTTCAGTCTGGAGACGACACTTTTGAGTCTTGATCCGACAAAGCGAAGGAAGGCGCGTAACAATATGGCAAACTTTCCGGAGGGCAGAAGTTGGTTGGCGTGCTTCTTTGACCAAGCGCCCACTTTCAACCAAAAACAGCTGCCATGCGTCACTGCCAAGAACGGTGCTATCTGGGTTCTAGAGTCAAGAGCCCGTCCAAGGAACTCTGTCTCCACCACGCCATCATTCTTCTGCTTTTGTCTGTTGCCCTTATGCTCAGCCTCTTTGCCTACACGTAGAGTGCCTGATCCGAACTACATTGCGCCATCTCCTCACAGCCAAGCGCCGTCTCTACACAGCCTGCCTATCTTCGCAGGCTACCACACGGGTGCTTTCCTGGAGAAGTCGCAAGTCTGCGCGCCAATCATGACGTTGAATCCGCTACACGTTTCAACCCAGCCTCGTCCGTTGATACTCTGTGAAACCCGTGATACTTGCACCACCACAGGCACAACCGTCTGCTTCTCCTCTATATCGACAAAGACACGATAGCATGTGTTTGAGAAACTCGCAGCAATTTCGCCAACACCCCACATATCTGCATCCTTCGTGCCTTCGCCTATTAGAGACATCAATCTATTCCACGCGCTACCGCTCTAAATTTGCATGCAGCCTAACTCGCGTGCCGAGTGCGGTCAGAAGCCTTCCATCATGATAGGTCAACCTCGACAGAAGGATGCACTTTGCCAAAGCACGTTGAAAATCTTTTCAGAAAACATATATCAACTTATATATGTCCAAGCACAGCTGACCCACTATAGTCGTGTTTGTAGAAGAGGGGCTTGATCATAGTAGGTACGACTTATATATCGGTAGGTCCTGACCGGCCCCAGCTGTTCGTATGCCAGACGTCTCTTTGAGCTTTGTCCTAGAACAGCACACCAGAACCGTCAATCTCATCTTGAGAACGTGACAATCATGGCACTTCTCGACAATTTGCCGAATGTCGGCATTCTCGCAACTGTTGCGGTGGTCCTCTACTTTGCAACACATGCCATCTACAACCTCTACCTCCATCCACTCTCACAGCACCCAGGACCTTNNTTTCTCAATGCAATCTCTCCCCTACCTCGCCTCTGGCTGAACATCAACGGCCGCGAACCTCAGACAGTCCTCAAGTGGCACCTCAAACATGGCCCTATCGTTCGCATGGCACCCAACGAACTCTCCTTCATCACCCCGGCCTGGAAGNAAATCTACGGCTTCAAGAAGCCAGAGCTGACCAAGGATTGGACCATGTATGCGTTATCTGAGAACACAAAGAGATCTATCCTTTTGTCTGGTGCCGATCATGGCAGACAGAGAAAGATGCTGGCACCGGCATTCAGTGAAAGAGCTTTGAAGTTGCAGCAGAGTATGTTGACCACGTACATTGGTATGATGGTTGAGAGATTGGAAGAAAGGATGAAGCAGAACAAGTCGATCGATATGGCCAAAGTGTTCAACTGCGTTACGTGAGTAATACCTTGATCTCCAAGTGTTCGATTTGAGAAAGAGGCCCATGTCAAACTCGAGGGAAACAACATGCTGACCAAGTTAACAGCTNTTGACACTATTGCCGACCTGATGTTTGGCAAATCTCTCGGTCTTTGCAAAGACATGGAGTACTCGGACTGGCTCTCCCAACTCTTCGTCTCCATCTGGCTCGTTGGTTCCTCTCGCGCCCTTCAATACTTCCCTATCCTCTTCCGCCTCGCAACCATGATGATCCCAAAACATATCCAGGACTCAGTCGACGCTTCCTACCAAAACACCGTCAACAAGGTGAATAAGCGTCTTGAGATGAAGACTGAGCGACCGGACATGCTGGGACTCATGCTCAAGCACAAGGAAGAGGGCGCAGAGATGACTATGGACGAGTTGTATGCCAATGCTGATTTGCTGATGATTGCTGGTACCGAGACCACGGCGACGAGTTTGTGTGGATTGACATGGCATTTGTTGAACAACAAGCCTGTTCTTGAGCGCTTGACCAAGGAGATCAGAGAGGCTTTCACCAGTATCGACGACATTACCATGGAGTCGTTGCCGAGATTGCCTGTAAGTAACGTCAAAGCTATGCTACGGAAAAACAAGCTGATCAGACCTAGTNACCTGTCTGCCTGTCTGGAAGAAGGCATGAGAATGTTCCCTGCCGTGCCCGAAGGTCTTCGTCGCATCACCCCTGCCACCGGCGCAACCATCAGCGGCCACTTCATCCCAGCAAACGTACGTCAACCTTCCTCGCCCCCCGCCTCACAACTCCCTACTAACCAGTTCCCATGTACACAGGTCAAAGTCAGCATTCCCCACTACGCAGCCTACCACCACCCCACCAACTTTTCCTCCCCCGAAACCTTTGCCCCCGAACGCTGGCTCCCCTCTTCTCATCCCCTCTACACCACCACCTATGCCTCCGACAAGAAAGAAGTCTATCAGCCTTTCTCCGTGGGACCAAGAAACTGCATTGGTTTGACGCTTGCATATCACGAAATGAGATTGATCATGGCGAATTTGCTGTGGCATTTTGATGTACAGCTTGCAGAGGAAGCGAGAAAGGATTGGTTGGATCAGACTACGCACTTGGTGTGGGATAAGAAGCCTTTGCCTGTAAGGATTCTGCCCAGAGGTGAGATTTTGGAGTAGAGGGGTTGTGTTGAGTTATAGAGAGGGGCACGGATGTTGGGATGGTTGATACTGACAGACCAGAGAAGAAAGGTGAAGAGTGCAACCGTAGAGTGTGCAACTAGACCACCACAGAATCTAAATTTGCCAAGGCTGACACCTTTGACTGCTCTAATACTCGAAACTCCCCATTGTTCCTGCAGTTCCTTTGCCTCTGAACGTATCGTCTAGTCCATCTCTGTTGCCCTCGTCATCCCCTTCCGCCTCTGAATCCTCTGGCAAATAGTCATCGGAGATCCTCAATGCAGGCAACGGCGTCCTTCCACTAAGGATATCGTACAAAGAATCCTCACTGACTTCTTCCTGCATCTCTTGACCTTCTGCTTCTCCCATTGCATCCGAGAACTGCGTGTGCACTGGCGAAGAAGGAGCAGAAGGGGCACCGAAAGGGTACGCAATGACCCAACCACGTTTCTTGGTGGTGATGAGAACAGTAGTGGAAGTTACCCAATGCACATTTAGTAGATCCATCGGTGAAGTAGAAGAAGAAGAAGTCGATGAAGATGAAGATGCTTTGGGTGCAGGGAAAGGATGAGAGAGGTGCAAAGGTGCGTTTGCATCGCCTGTGGTGGAGGAGAGGTAGATTTGGTTGTCTTCTGTGTGGCTGAGCAACAATCCAGAGATTGTAGGATGCCATTGCAGTTTTTTGATGTTGGTATGATGGTGAAACACCAGCATTGAGTCATTCCGATCTTCATTGGTTTCTGCTTCTGGCTCGGTATCCTGGGTGGAAGAAGCGAATATAGGCTTGGAAGTAGGGATTCTCCAAACAAGCACAGTTTCTGGGAACGCTTCTAGGCGCAAAGCGAGGAATCTGCCGGTTGCGTCGAATTTCATCTCGACGGCTGGCGAGTAGGATGCTAGGAGTTGGTGTGTTGTGTCGTCGCCGTTGCCCAGATAAGCCCAGTTGCGATCGCCTTTGCCGTTTACTTGCTCGCGGTATACGGCTGAAATGTCATCTTCAACCACCGTCCATGGCTCCAGAGTATATACTGGAGAGAAAGTGGTCGTGGAGAGAAGAGTGATGCTGCCATCCGCATTGGCGAGAGCAAGGTGATTGGAGCCCCATACGTGTCGTAGAGGACCTAATGTGTAAGTCTCTTCGACCGACTCAGAGGTTGCAGCGGGATAACTGCGATAGAAGTTGCCGTCTGCAGTGTAGAGATGTACGGCGGAGTTTGGTGCACTCAATGGTGTGTCTAGTACGCTCAACCATTTACCTGAAGGACTCCAAGCTAGTGATTGAGCATCGGTAGTAGGCATATTCATTGTCGTGAATGGGGTAGTTGATGTGGCCAGCATGAAGGACAACGTATCCATTGCCGAACTACGACACAATATGGCAAGAACNTGTGTTTCATTAGTCATGCTTTCCAAATCAAGAAAGCCAAACATACCTTCAACTTTGCCCTTGAGCCTTCGGATCCCCCATGCAGACTTTAGGCTACCAAGACCAGTCTTCAGTTCGCCAATCTCAGTGACCCGACCTCTTGCAACCTCAAAGATACCAACCCTACCAAACTCCCAGACTACAACGACATTCTCGCCAAAAATATCCGCACTAGCGATTCTACCCAAGCTAGCGCTTCCGTTGGCGATTCTGACCCTGCTAGCTGTGTTTGCCAGACTGTAGAGCGAGACATAGCTGCTGGTCTGGAGAATGATGGATAGCGAACACGGTGTCCAATGAAGTGCAGGTGTTTCGGTCGACCGTATCGTTGGGGCATTCAAGTTGTCAAGCGGGAACGAAGAAGCGATGGTTAGGGTCGCAGTATAGTAAACATAGAGGTGGTCGGCAGTTAGGCCAGCGACATAGTGGCCATCTGGCGATGGTGAGGCATGTGTCGTTGCTGTTGTTTCGGTGTTAGTGTTTGTAAACTCAGACAACAACTTTTAATAGAGATATGGTCATGTTGAAGACAACGATGATATCTTTCTAGAGGAGGTGAGGAAGTGCCGCTGGCCATGAGTTGATCAAGATGAGACCACGATCCAGAATGGCACCAGAACTATGCACTGTTACAAACTCTCCACTCGCCCTCGACTGGACAAAAGATACCGGTCTTACCGAGAAGACTCTAGTGTCTTTGTCTTCTCGATCGCGCGACAATTCTTTTCTTGCAAGGGATGTGCATACAGAGAAAGAGAGATTGAGAGCAAGAGAATGCTAAGACTTACATTCTATCAGTTCAGATGCATCCATGATATTTCACAAGAGGGTCAGCTCTGTAGTTATCAAAGGTGTGGTATGTATTTCAAACTATCGATATACCACTGTTTGTTGACGCTGAACCATGTTGCGCGGAGAGTTTTGCCGAGCAACGCAGTTTCTACCGTACGGTCAGGGTGACCTTTCAACATGCCCAAGATGAAGGCACATTGGAGAATCAAGGTATTTGACATATAAGAGATATGATTCGACTTTGATAAAGCATATGATAGAAAGATGATGTATTGTTAGGTTCAAAAATTCGCTGACTAGGGTATAACAACGCTAAGTGACAGAACAAAAATGAGTAGGAAATGCAATCAGTAAACCGGGTTTTCAACTCTTGGACAGCACTGGACTTTGTGAGTCCCGCCTAACATGTGGCATGCTTTTTTGCTCGTCTGCCTCGGGAATCACACCAATGAACCCTATCATTGACTTCCTGCCACCAAGACTGAGCTTCTTTGCTCTTGCTGAAGCTGGTGATGCCGGCGGGCTGATACTCAATCTAAAAGCAGCTGCCTTCTTCGCTGCATGCTCTTCCAAGGCGTTCGCAAAGAATGGATCAATGGCTGCACCGGCAGCTGAAGCAGCTTGGAGCACAGGTGCGTAATTGATCATGTCGGGTCGTAACGTATTGATTTTGCCAAGACCAGTCTGTGAATCTAGTCCGCCAGAGAAGAAAGGATTGTCATCAGGACTCGGGCTAGCAAAGAAAGGATTATCGTCAGACTTTGCTGGCGTGTTCGAGTCGGACGCGGGTTCGGAAGCCGAAGTCTGTATGTGCAAGGAACTGCCTCTCCTTTTGGCGACCGGCTTCTTTATGGTCTTCGTAGTGTCATTGCTATCAGCCTTCTTGGGCATCGATATGCGATCCTGAGTAGAGGTTGAAGGTGTATTCTTCGCGCCAAATCGCAGACCATGGCGTAGAAGATTACGATGCTGACGGATTTCTTTTCGGATGCGTTTGTACTCGCGGTAATCATCTAGCTCTTCCGCATTCGGATGTTCTAGCACGGGACCAAGAGGTGGCTCTGAAGGTAGACGGTCGAAGGAGATGTAAAAGTGAATTGCCTTGGTCTTCGGATCCTGAATGATCCGCCATCCAGAAACCTTGTAGAGTCCATCGTACCTAATTCCAGCGCGAGGGGCGAAGAAGCTGCGCAGAGTGTGGCTTCGTAACACGCGGATTGGTCGTCTGGAAGCAAGGGTCCCGGCGCAAAGGCGATATCGTCTAGAATCTCCTGGGGTCGAGCGGTATGTGAAATGTGCTGGATCTGTGCAATCGACTTCATCGCCATCTGCCAGGAGTAAGGCATATGCTTGTGAGTAGCAGTTTGTTACACCGCTGTCACCTGAAGTGTTGGCAATAATGCCGTCATGAAACGCAAACATGGTATTGATCCACCAGCTGGAAGAACTGTTAGAGATAAGTCAAAGAGGTGAAGCGACCACCACTTACTCTCCCGGTTGGAATCCAAGGTCCCCGTTCCGCCTTGCGAAGTTTGGATTAACCCATGCGGTTTCTTTGCGCGACCATTTGAGCAGTAGTGCCTCTCGTTGAATATCCTCGGGAGTACTGACGCCATGTAGCCTTCCGCCCGTGTCGTAAAGATTGGCCTTGATACTTGAAAGTGGACCCCATTCAGATTCCCATTTGAAGATGATTTCTTCGGCTTCTTCGATCAGTCTGACCGGCCATCTGGTGGCACGCCTAGAGATTTCGATGAGGGCCAGGTGTACGCGAGAGTCGCGAATAGTCTCGAGATTCAAGTAAGATGTGCGTAGCTGTTCGAAGAATTTGAAGAGAGCGATAACAGTGTCAGGTCGTAGGGTATTTGGACCATCCCGAGCAACCAGCGGGTCGAGTTCATCTCGAATCCATGAGACGCGGCCTTTGAGATAGTCGAGGTCAAGTACCGAGGCGTTTTCGATATGAGTAGGGAGCTTCCAGGCCGAGAATGCTGGTTGATCAACCATTGCGGTGGAATGGAGATGTCATCAAGAAGGAGAGACAATTGTTTGGGTTGTTCACGAGTTGCGCAGAAGATTGATGGAATACAGGGGGAAGGAGCGAACTGGACACACTTGGATGGGACGAAAATCTGCTTTGTTGAAATAACAGAAGGGACGAGGGCGTGTATATGGCGAGTGCCTAAAAAGCTGCGATTAATCTCGCATCCTGGGACGGGATAGCCATGGTCTCGATCGGCACGTTATGATTAACGATGCTGTGTGAATTTACTTTGCACTGTCTTGCTCGCATCTGGTCGCTTCAACGGCCATGACAATTTTACAGCAGCCATGGAAGAAGTCGAGCAGTATGAGGGCACCAACTCTCACAAGCAGGCATTGCCAGAGCAATAACAATACTCAGCGACTCGATCCCGACAGTCAAGACGAAATGCAACGACAGCAATGACGAGGGAGCCCGAGAGCACTGACGTGCAAGTGGTCGCAGCCGGTAAAGTGAGGCTTCGACCAGGGAGAGTAGGGCGGCGGAGCGCCAAGGCCGACGGTGAATCCCCGGGTCAAGCGAAAGCCCACACTCGGCCACTCAGAATTTGCAGCTCGCGTCGAATTCTGAGTGATCGAAGCGACTTCTCGACACCACGCCAACCTCGCCCATTTCCGCCCTCCCTCATCACATCGCCAACATGTCTGACGCCGGAGAAATCGAAGTCGAGCAGCCCCAGGGCTACCCCGTCCTGCCCAAGGATGTCGCCCAGGAGATTGGCAGCGTCAAGCTGTTCAACAAGTGGACCTACGAGGATGTCGAGATCAGAGATATCTCTTTGACGTGAGTCGCAGCACTCCGAAGCCGACGCCGGGATGGTCATTGTCAGTCTGCGATGGATGGAAAGAAAGAGCTGGATGCGAAAGAGTCGGGCACTGGCGCAGGTCTTGGAAGAGAGACACGGCGCGCAAACATGATACCATACCATACAGACTGGCAATAGACGCACCCACGAGGCAGAGGAAGTATCGGCACGCGCAAGCACTTAGCTGACCCTCATACCTCAGCGNACTACATCCAGATCCGTCAGCCCGTCTACCTCCCCCACTCTGCCGGTCGTTACGCCCAGAAGAGATTCCGCAAGGCCCAGTGCCCCATCATTGAGCGTCTCACCAACGCCCTCATGATGAACGGCCGCAACAACGGAAAGAAGATCATGGCCGTCCGCATCGTCGCCCACGCCTTCGAGATCGTGCGTACTTTTCCGAGTCGATACCCGCGCCCCTCGGACAGGCTAACACTCCTTGCAGNNGTCCACATCATGACCGACCAGAACCCCATCCAGATCGCCGTCGACGCCATCGTCAACTGCGGTCCCCGCGAAGACTCCACCCGTATCGGTTCCGCCGGTACCGTCCGTCGCCAGGCCGTCGATGTCTCTCCCCTCCGCCGTGTCAACCAGGCCATTGCCCTCCTGACCATCGGTGCCCGTGAGGCCGCTTTCCGCAACATCAAGTCTGTTGCCGAGTGCCTCGCTGAGGAGCTCATCAACGCCGCCAAGGGTTCTTCCAACTCGTACGCCATCAAGAAGAAGGATGAGCTCGAGCGTGTCGCCAAGTCCAACCGATAAACGTATCGCCTGGGCAGGCTGCAAAGGGAGGGAGAGGATTTGTTGGTTCGAAAAAGAGAAAGACATTTTACAAAAGAATGGCAAAAGCTCGTCTTTTTTTTCTCGCTTCAGTGCTGCCTTGTCACATTTCTTTGTGCAAGCCGACCTTTCTTCTCTCTGGACGTGAGATGATCAAAACATTCCCAGAGAAAGGTGTATCGTTCCGTGTGATCTAACAGGGCTGGAAAACATGGGGCGTTTCTCTCTTTTCTCTCTTCTAACGATCTGGTCGCTATGCAACAGGGCTAGCCTCATGTCGAGAATGCAAAAGCAAAATTCCATCAATTCTTTTCTTCCGTTCTTTGACCAAACTATAATCATTCCTTTTGCGCGCATAGCCTAAAGGCTCCACCTATTAGCAATTGTCACGTACACTCTCTTCTTGCCGTCGCTATGGGATTTCTATAGCACACTCTTGTCGCTGTCACTACTACCAACAACATTTGATGATACATTATCATCCGAAGTCCTTCTGCTCCCTTACTTTTCCATCTCTTATTCTATGGGCATCCAAAATCATCCAGACTATTCCAAGGTATCATGACATACCCTTCCTATCAATCCTCCATGCCTGTTGATTCGAGGACCGCTAGAGCAGTATATGCACACTCATGCTTGCTATCTTCATTTCATCCTGTAGTTCTGCTTGTCGTTCGATGTTCGCTTTTGATCAGAATCATGCAGAGTAGGTTCATCGGCATGAAATTCGCAATACTCGTTCACTTTCACCAGAAAAGGAAAAAGGCACATGAACAAGAAAAAGAATACTGCAATGCTTTGAACAACCATTGTCATGAAGTACAGCAGTAGAGAGCCACAGAAACAGATGAAGCAAAACAGCCATCCAACCATTCCACTTTTCCCCACCTCCCCAGAGAACACGCCATGCTGCCACCCAAAGATTTTCCCAGGGACATACGAAAACCAAAACAAAAAACCAAAGCCTATCTCTCCAAACTCGAGAGTCGGTAGATGAAGAGAAGAGAAGAAGAACCATGTACAGAGAAAAAAATAAAACACCTCTCCAAGCCCTCATCTAAGGACCACGACTCTTAGATCTAGATCCAACACCTCCGGCTCCAGGCGGCGCAGAAGCATCTCTGCCCAATCGTCTCGGTGTAGCCATGCCAGCAGCCCCATTACTCCTTGCTCTACCCCTTCTCTCCTTGATAGCAGCAAGTGCAGCCTCTCTATCAATAGGCGTGTTGAGGAAATCGGGAATATTGGGGTGCATTGCTGGCGTCGAGCAAGAANNAATTGTCATGGGAGTTTTGAGATGGTGAGGCGGAGCGCTGACGGTGCGGGATGAAGGAATGGGTGTACGTGGTGGTTGGAGCAGAGGTAGAGAGTTTTCCTTGTCGCTGGTTGAGGAGGGGTCTTCTTCGTCGTCGTTGAAGTTTATGGGCACGCGGAGGGTTTGCTTTGTGGTGGTTGTAGGGGGAGGCAGGGGAGTTGTGGTGTTTTGGGGAGAGTCGTGGGCGATTGGCGTGCTGGAGTGGCTGCGAACTGGTGTGTGGGTTGGGCGGGTCTGAGTTGTCTCTGGCTCGGGAGTGTCCTCAACAGCGTAGTCGTTGTGGACGGGTTCGGGGTTTGCTTCAGCCATTGATTCGTCTTCTTGTCTCTTGGGCGAGTCGATCTCGATGTCAAAGTCGTCGATTGGGTCTTCGCGCGGCTGGACGTGGGACATGGCCTGTTGTTGTGTTGCAAGCAGCTCGAGGTGCCTGTCCTTCATGGTCTGTAGAGCGACGATGTGGTCGATCTCCAAGAAAGCAATCAAATCATTTGAATCGGCGCGTAGCTTCTTNCTCCCAATCGGCCTCTTCTTGCAGTTGTTGCTGCTGCCTCCAGTGCAGCTTCTCGCGCTCCATGTATTCTTTTTGCATCTTGCGCAGTTGTTCTTCGTGCTTAACTTTCTGCTGCTTGAACCGCTCCTTGGCCTTTTCGTACTTTTTCTGTCGGAAAGAGTCAGTCATGAGTTAGGGATCAAACGAAAGATGGATAGACATACCTCGTACTCGTCCAGTCTCTGGCGCAAGTCGGTCCTTTCGCGCAGACGCTCTTCGGCCATGTCTCTCTGCTCCCTGAGCTCGTCGCGCAAGCTTGTGGCTTCCGTCTCGGCCTCCTCACGCGCCATCTCTGCCCTCCTCAGAGCAGCTTCTAATCGTCGTACTGTGCGCTTTGCGCTGTCTTCGTCGCGGTCCTTGACTTCGAGGGTGGTAAAGCGGTCGACCAGGGCATTAACCGACATGTCGGGGGCGCTGTGTGAGGAGCCCATGAGGAATTTGAATGGTGATGTGACTGCGACGTGCATTGTGCCGCCGGATCGTGAGGGCGACGCCATGGTGTATGGGAATATTGATGCTGATAACTAGGTGGAAGAGTGTGAAGAAGCTCGACTGTCGACTATGGATTGTGCAACAAGCTCGTGCGGAAAGATTTGGGCCAGTTTACGAGTAAACACCCTTCTGTTGCACCAGCAACAACCACGCTGCACAGACCATCTCATCGTCACCACATCCACCACCCGAGGAACCTCTTCCATCATCCATCTTCCATCTTCCCTCGATAATACCGCTTCAGCCTGCCATTCTGCCGTATACAATGTGCCTGTATATCATGAGTCGTGCTTACTAGATTCTCACATGCCAACTTACGCCTGGTCTTGGATCTGCCATCTCGAGTCCCTCATCTCTCGACGCAACCCAGCGAGGAACAGTTCAACCTCTGCTACTGACCATCATGCTCGAGTCAGCGATGCCATAGTGATGCCTTGAAGTCCCATCTTGAGTTGTTCTGCATGCAAATCAGCAATTGAAACCATGTCTCTCACCACATACCACCAACATGCCAATAACAGATCGCCTTGTGTCGCTTGTCCAATGACCATGTTCCTCCTGAAAGCTGGTGCATGTCGTAGCGCACTCATGTGGCAGGTCGACCAGTGTCGAGAAAGAGGGGTGGTGCAGGGTGCCGAGTAAGCGTTTTGGATATATGAAAGAAGCCTCCGATCTGATTGGCACAATGTTGCAGGATCGGCTTGTTTGACATGTGTCACTTCAACGTGCCTTCTTCAGCGAATTGCCTACACCAATCTTCCACGCTGACAAACACAGCCCAAGTCCCATGACTGAGCTGACATATCTCGCGAGGCAAGTGCGGAACTGGTTGTATCTGCTTGATTGGCTTCTCTCTAGCGAAGGGCTACAAACAACCTAGACCATCGATTGACTCTCATGCTTCACTCTCTTTACCTTGTTACTTTCTTCCTTCTCTCATAGCACCCACTACTCAGGGATTCTACTTCTCAAGCCTTGATCTGTCACGCGGACAACACCCTATCACAACTAAGCGAACTACACTGTTATGGCACCTTGCACTGAAGGCTCAGGTGCAGCCCGCGTCTTGATCATTGGCGCTGGTATCGAGTTCAGACCACAAACGCGAGACGAACCGTTACCTGACGTGTGGTAGGTGTGACTGGACTCGCGATCGCGCATGCACTACAGAAAGTAAGGCCGATAGTCATTCCTTGTCGCACCAATCAGGATCCATGCGCTCTCTAGAGTCTGTTGCTTCAGCTCTTTCTCCATCCAACATATAGCGATGTAAAAGCTACAAATCTGCACATTCGCTCCAGAGAAAAAATTCGTGTGATGAGCACCGATAGAACGACTGCTCTCAGTGGATGCTATCCTTGTCCTCGAGACTGTTATGCATGTTCTGGCTACTACACACATTACAGTTTTCAACTTACACGAAGGCGATAAATCTGCTTACATGGTGTTTCCCTGGCCAAGCATATCTAAATGACACAATACTACCCACAATCAATCTGGACAGAAGCTCACATCAGACTGCAGGCAGGCATACCCTATGCAATCTTCGATCTTGAGCCCAATGCCTCTTTTCGCACTCGCGAGTGGTCAATGGGACTGCATTGGTCGATGCCACTTCTCAAATCACTACTTCCCATCGAACTGTTTTCGAGAATCCATGAAACATTTGTCGATCCCTCGCTGGACTGGTCACAGCCTCCGCTTGATTGTATGCGTATGTATAATGGAATGACTGGAGAAATCATGAAAGATGTGCCCATCAAAGGAAAGATTGTCAGAGTATTGAGAAAGAAATTGAGAGCGTTGGTGGCTGAAGATATAGCAGTCAAGGTAATGCTCGTCGTCGTCCAACTTTGACAAATCGAGATTGATACAACATGCTGATGTGTGCAGTATAACCACTCGCTGACCGACATTCGTTATAATTTCGATAACACGGTTACTGCCATCTTTGCTAATGGGGCCGAAGAAACGGGGTCACTGCTTGTTGGTGCAGATGGCCCACGCTCTGCCGTGCGCAACGTTCTCTTTGATGGAACTGAAGCTACTGTCGAGCCGCTGGAAAATGTGATACACACTAATGTTACTGTCCGTCCTGGAAACGCAGGCAAGGCCATGTTCCTAAGATCTGCACATCCTGGTAGATCTATCCAGGGTCTTATAAGACTATCTGAGAGACTAATGGTGCACACAGCCTGGAGTTTATGTCTGCATCCAGACCTCTTCTGCGTGCTATCGAGTGAGTCTTATTAGCACAACTCTGCCACAAATAGGTCTAATCACCAAATACAGTCGCGCAAGATCATCCTTCTCCAGNACCCTTCGACCTGGTCATTCCAACTAGTCTCTGGCTGGCTAGGCTCTCGCTCTTCTTTCTCTACTCCATCCTCTCGCCTCGCAGAACTCAAACGAAGAGGCAATCTCCTCTGCGAACCATTCAGATCTGCCTACGACTGTTTAGACGCAGATCTAGACGTCAGATTCGAAGAACTAGGCTGTTGGGAAACCAAAGAGTGGGATTGTAAAAACGGAAGAGTCGTCCTGGCCGGCGATGCTGCACATGCCATGCCACCTCGTGAGCAAAAATTTCTCAAAGATCCAGAAGAGAAAGAATATAAAGCTGATGGCAGAAACAGACNNCGTGGACAGGGTCTCAACCACGCAATCCAGGATGCATACAATCTCGTCGATATCCTAGTCGCCAACCATGAAAACCCCTCTGCCACTCCAGACCTTCCATCTCAACTGCAGTCATATGCTCACGAGGTCAGTATCCGCGGCGCGGAAGAGGTTAGATTGTCAAAGCAGAATGCCTATATGGTTTTGGATTGGAAGTTGCTCGAGCAAAGCCCAGTGTTCATGCACGCATTGGACAAAAGCCCTGCTTCAAGTAACCAAAAAATACAAAAATCGAAGCTGGAGATACGATCCAAGNAAGCACAGCAGGAGGTTACCGCTATGGCTGGCGCATAGAAGTAGTAAATTACATATCACTGCTTTATTTGATTATGGTTGATTGAACACCTATTTGGGCACTTGGAGTGGACAGGAACTGAGATTTCGGAGTTGTCGCAAGGAGTGATGAGTTATCACAAGTCTTAACGAAAAGGTCCGTAGAAGCTTATCTAGCAGGAACCACATACTGTTGAGCAAGGAGCAGTCACTGAATATGGCGTATCGGTGATACTCCTAATATCGAGGTTACTAGTCCTTAGGCGTCTAGTGAATGCATATCTACCCAAACAAGACAAGTGAGAAAGGGGAAAGAAAAAAGTGAAGATGCATCAAAACACACTCTAAATATTAGGAGATAACTGGTCATGAGCGACCAACGACTCGACACTCTCAACACTGGCCTGCATGAACTTTCTCGCTTCAAGTCCGGCCCACACCTTGATCATCGAAAGATCGCCTCCTTTGAGCATATTGCCCGCACCCCCAGAGGTGCCCAATTGTCTCAAAATGGGAAGAGCNCCTACATGGAAAAGAACAAAAAAGTCAGCTCACCAGTCCTCAAAAAGTAGGGAAGATCCAATATCTACGAACCCAGAGAACAAATCCAATTCGGGGTTTAAGCTGCGACCGATGCCTTCGAGGAGAAGGATACTCAACACCACATTGACAAAGTCGCCTTCGAGTCTGACGTGGTGGCCGCGGACCATGCTCAATACTTCGTTCAGAATGTCGCCGATCTTGATGTTGCCGAGAGCAAAAGTGCGGCTCTTGACGCCTAGAACCAGATGTTGCATGCGGAGAGCAAAGACTTCCTTGTCGATGACGGCGGCTGGTTGACGACAGCGCTCCACCATCAAGTGTCCTGCTTTGTAGCCATCAAACTCGGCAATGGATTTGAAGAGATCCAGGAAGTTGCGGCGGTTGATTCCATTCAACTCGGTAACAAGACCAGTGTCGATGAAGATCAGTTGTGGGCGGAAGCCTTCGCGGTCGATCTGGTCCAAAGTCTTGCCCCAGTCGGCTTTTGACTTTCTGTGAGGTCGTAGACGTTCAAGGACTTGTTCTGTCACATCCGTCGAGTGCTTGGGGTCAGGCTTGGGTCGGCTGAAGAAACTGCCCTTGACATCAATCTGGGCGGGCTTGTAGAATCGAACCATGATGTTTCCAGGATGCAAGTCTGCGTGGATGAAGTTGTCAATCAAGAGCATGTGGAGGAAGGCATCAAGACCCTCGTCGGCAATTTCTTTNTGGAAGACACCACCACCGTTTTGCAAGAAGTCTTCCAGTGGGATGCCCTGGGCGAACTCTTCAACCAGGACCTGACGAGAAGTGTATTGGGTGTAGGGGTAAGGGAACCAGGCTGTGGTGCGGTCGCGGAAATTCTTTCGGAAGATGGTCAAGTTGGCGGCTTCGATACGGAGATCGAGCTGTAGACGCATCATTTCACCAAACTGCTCTACTTCATCAGGGAACGAGAGCCACTCCATGGTAGGGACCAGGTTGATGATGGAAGCCATGAAGCCCATGATCTTCAGGTCTCTGCGAACGATGCGCTCGATCTTGGGATGAAGAACCTTGATAGCAACGTATTTCGAAGGAGTCCGTTGTGGGGTGCTCTTCAAAGTAATATCAACGCCTCTCTTGAACTTTTCGCGGTAAGTGTCGGAGCTATGAGGATCGAGGTCTTCGCTGACAGCAATGTCAGGCTTTAGTCTTGCTTTGTAGACCTGTGCGATAGCACCAACACCCAGAGGCTTCTCGTCGAATTCGTCAAAGATGTCTTCGAAGGACATGCCGAAAGCTCGCTGGATTGTCTTCTTGGTGTGGCGCAGCGAGTGGGCGGGAGCGTTGGAATGGAGAGCAGACATGATGGCGCACATCTGGGTAGGGAAGATGTCGGTTCTTGAGGCAGCCCATTGGCCGAGCTTGATGAAGGCAGCACCAGCTCTCTCCATGCCATTAACCAGGAAAGCATACCACCAAAGGGTACCAGATCTCTCATTGTCTCGTTCGGGCTGTCTTTGGCCAAACCAGATGACGGGAACTGTCACGATGACAGGGACAAAGATGAAGATCAAGTGTAGTAGTCTGAAGCCAGTGGCAATGGGCTCGATGATCCAGGTATCGAGGAAGGTCCAGATGCCTTTGCGGAGAGATGTCGAGCTTCCGACCCAGCGGGGAACCTGCTCAGCCAGCTCTTTCCTAGAAGCCTCGAGCATCTGTTGCTCGCCGGTCAAGCCATCGTCGGACTCGTCGTTCTCGCTCAGCGATACAAAGGCGGCGGGCGAGAGGGCGGCGAGGCAGACGGTGCCACCTTTCACAGGCGGCGGCGGACGTTTGAAGAATTGGCGAGCATTTTGGAAGAAGCGCGGACGGTTGTATGTTCTGGCGGTAAAGGTGAAGGAGCGAGTGGCTTGTGATTTGAAGAAGGGAGGGGCGCTGGATTGCTTTGGGAAGGCGCGTTTCGCACAGATGCGGCCAAAGAGCAGGGGAGCGCTCATACTGATTTGTAAAGAGCAGCTATCGTATCGTCTGAGTATCCATGTCCTGCGTCGTCTGTGTTCGAGTCAATGTTCTGGTAGCTGTCATCGAGTCGCTGCCGCCTCCAATGCTGCAAGTCCATCCTTGTGTCAACGTCATGGCCCATCACATGCAAGTCAAGCCCACCGGAACGGCTTTCCAGCACTGCCGTCCCTTTCGCTGACTAGCCCATCAAACATCCATTCACCATCGTTCCACATCCTCACACGCCCGAACAACAGTCACCATGGGTAACGATGGTGGCAGCATCCCGACAAGACGCGAGCTGGTCAAGGAAGCCGCCCGCGACCCGTCCACCACCGAGATCAAACAGTCACAGCAAGAGCGACAAGAATATGGCTGGTCCACCGATCCCATCACGCGCAAACCTCTCTCCCCGCCCATCGTCTCCGATTCAAATGGCAAACTATACAATAAAGAGTCCATCATCGAATATCTACTGCCGTCCGATCATGCAACCACCACCAAGGCCGACGCCGACATGGTACTCCAAGGCTCAGTCAAGAGTCTGAAAGACGTTGTCGAGATCAAATTCGATGTCGACACCAATGCTGGGAAGGATGCGAAAAACGCCTGGAAGTGTCCTGTCACTGGCGACCGTCTCGGCCCTGGCGAAAAAGCCGTCTACCTCGTCCCTTGCGGCCACGCCTTCTCCGCTACTGCCATCAAGGAAGTCTCGGGCGAGCGCTGCGTTACTTGCGACCAGGAGTACGCCTCCAACGATGTCATTCCCATCTTGCCTACAACTCCTGAAGACATTGCGCGCCTGAGTCTACGTGTCAAGACTTTGAAAGAAAAGGGTCTTGCCCACTCCCTCAAGAAAGCCGCAAAAGAGTCAAAGAAGCGCAAGAAGCGTGAAGAAGTCGACGAGGCTCCTGCTCTTGTCCCCGTCATTCACAAAAAGGACGCCAACAACATCAACAACTCTTCCACTGCTGCTCTGACAGCAAAGGTCATGCAAGAGCAAGAAGCAAAGAAGCAAAGGATGCACAACGACAACCTCAAGACCCTTTTCTCGTCTAGAGATCAAAGCAAACCTATCGGCAAGAGTGCCGACTTTATGACAAGAGGGTACGATATCCCCGCTGGCGCAAAGAGGTGAAAACTTCCTTGCCTTGCCCAGTGCCCTAATCTGTACCAAAAACGCCACAATCTGCGCTTGGTGTGCCCTGCCTATCTATCCGGTTGCTTCGGCCGAGCCACGCAACACACTACGCTTATCGCTTCGGACATGCTGTTCCTATCAAAGGTTGGCATCATCGTACACTAGCCTGTCTGCACAGCAGAGCTCTTGTCTTGGGAGCTCGATCATTCGAAAATGGCTGTCACGCTTTATCGGACTCTGATCACTAGCAGTTACAGAACTCGTAGGAGAGGCCTAGTCAATGGGTACAAGAAAACTGCCTCGTTTTGTTTCCAGAACCAATTTTGAATTGGCTTGCAACATCAATTTCTCGTAGCTACAGTAGAGCAATGGCAAAATTACACGCTGGAGATTTCAGCTCTGTCGAAAGGTGTCCAATGTATCAAAGACGAAAGTGCTCTGAGCTGAATAAATCGATTTGGGTATATGTTAATTTTCTAAGAAACACCTTTCCTGCGCCTTTGTGCGGATATCCTCCCTTTGCGGTATATACAAACAATGCTGTGCAACAATCTTCCAACAGATTCCTGAAGCGTTTTACAGCTTCTGTCTCTCCATACCCTTCCAGCCGTGAGCCTCGGCAATCATCTCAGCAGCGCGCTCACCGATGGCCAACACAGTAAGCATGGGGTTGATGGTAGGCATCTCAGGGAAGACACCCGCGTCGGCAATTCTGATGCCCTGGAGACCCTTGACCTTCAACTGGTGATCGACAACCGCAAACTCATCCTTGCTCACATCACCCATCTTTGTGGTGCCGGCAGGGTGATAGACTGTATGTGCTGCTCTGCGACCGTACTCGGACAACTGCTCGTCGGAAGTGACCTTTGGGCCGGGGGCCACCTCTCTCTTGATCCAGTCGCTGAAGGGCGCTTGTTGGGCAATCTTTCTGGCGGCCTTGAAGCCGGCGACGATGGTGGCGGCGTCGTAGCCTTCTGGGTCGGTGAAGTAGCGGAAGTCGAGGGCGGGCTTGATGGTGGGGTCGGCAGAGGTGAGGTAGAGACGACCGCGCGAGCGGGGNCGGGGGATGTTGGGGGTCATGCAGAAGGCGTCGATGGGGGTGTCGTAGCCGAGNACTGTTGTTTTGCGAATTAGTTTGTGGTTTCTTTGTCGGAAGAGTGAGGATTGAAAAGCTTACCGAGAAGTGTTCAGGCAGAAGGGGATTTGGTAGCAGTGCATCATGATGTCTGCAATATCGCCGTCTCCATTGTTGGCATCGGGGGCCTCGCGACGGAGGAAGATGCCAGCGTCAGAGTCCATGGTGGTCTGGTTGGCAGGAACGGGCTTGTTCAACTCCCACATGATGATGGTCTCGGGGTGGTCGAGCAAGTTCTCTCCAACACCGGGCAAGTTCTTGACAACGGGAATGTTGAGCTCCTCGAGCTGCTGTTTGGGTCCGAGACCAGACAGGAGCATGAGACGGGGAGTGTCGACGGCACCGGCACAGAGAATGGTCTCGGCCTTGGAGTTGAGGATGTGCTTAGAGCCGTCCTGAAGGGTCACGTTGATACCGGTGACCTTCTCGCCCTTGACGTTGACCTTGCTGACCCAAGCATTGGTGAGAACGGTCAGGTTGGGTCTCTTCTCATCACCACGGAGGATGGGGTGGATGTAAGCAACCGAAGCACTGCTTCTGTGGCCATTGTCGGGGTTGTACGAGACGGAGAAGAAACCAACGCCCTGCTTCAAGGCACCCTTGGACTTGATCTCCTTGTTGAAGTCGTGGATGACGGGAATGTCCATGGCAGTGGAGCACGAGTCGATCCAGTCAATGCAGAGCTGGTTGCGGTGCCTCTCGTGGACGGGCTGGACCGAGTTTCTGATGTTGTCCAGAACACGCATGAAGGTCTTGAAGCTCCATCCCTTGCAGCCCTGGGCCTCCCAACGCTTGCAGTCGTACTCGAAGGGGCGGAACGAGATAAGGGTGTTGTGCGAAGAGCAACCTCCAAGCACCTTTGCACGTGAATGGCGGATGTGGGAGTTGCCCATAGGCTGCTCGGTGGTGCCGTAATCGTAGTCGAGTTCACCACCAAGGAGGTTCAACCAGTCCTTGAGAAGCAGAACTCTGTTGTCCATGAAATCCGAGGGACCAGCCTCGATCAGGAGGACCTTCTTGTTGGGAAGATAGTCGGAGAGACGACTGGCAATAACACATCCTGCAGTACCGCCACCAACAATGACAAAGTCAAAGTAATTCTCGGGGTTCGAGGGAAGGTGAGTGGTGGTCATGATGGGCTAAATATGTCCTCTAAGAGATGTCGGACAGAAGAAAAAAAGAGGTGTAGAGAAAAGGAAGGGAAACACAAAAGACCGGTTATCAGCGGGGCTCTCGTATATAAAGCTTCGATGCAAGCAGCTCCTGCAACTGCCAACCCGTGTCTACCCTCGTTGGAGTATGTACGGAGGGAACATCCGATCTGTCTCAGAAGCTAACCTCACGCCCGAGCGCCCCAATATCTTGAATCCTTGATCAACGGGAAGCCCTCGATTCGTGCATTAGTTAGAGTTTACTGTTTCATCAGGGTGCTTGCGCTCGCGTCCAAAATTTTCGCTCCAGAAGACGCACTCGCCTTGGCCTAGATCAGGGCCGACTTGGTGGCGTCGATCAAGCAAACCTCGCAAAGTTGTTGCTTTGGAACAGAGAAGGGCGTTTCTTGCTGCCGGAAATGGTATATAGATCCTCACATCTTAGGCTTGACGAACAACTTGGCCTATCAGCAACATGCTCGTGCGGAGGTGGTTGGCACGAGCTGTTTCCACGCATCGTGCAGCGTAAGCACTTCGATTGTGGCTTGCCCGCGATGGTGTGCTCGAGATTGAGAACGTTGATGTTATTGCGATGGCAGTGGATGTCAACAAGACAGCAACGAGTCCCGCAAAGGCTCCTCTGACCGAGCGTCAAACGCCTGCCAGCTCCTCCCACGTCAAGTGCAGTGTTAAAAGTACCTAGTCGTCCGTGCGCTATCAGCAAGGTATTGGCATCGTTTCATCACTTCTGGCAAAGACCTGATCTTTTTGTCTGCTATTCGATCATACGAAAGATTACACATCCAACAAATCACCATGACTTATCTCACTCGCCAACTGTACTACGACGGCAAGCGTCAGAATGCGACTTCCCATTCAACTTTTCAGACCGTGGATCCGGCAACCGCGAAGCCTGTAGGAGAAGTCCAAGCTGCTTCACACGCCGACATTGATAAAGCTATCGCTTCTGCACAATCAGCTTTCCAGTCATGGTCGACTACTCCTCCAATTGAGAGATCACGTATCTTACTAAAGGCTGTTGCTCTTCTGCGGGAACGCAACGATGAGATTGCAAAGGTTGAGACTCACGATACTGGCAAACCCTTCTCGGAGACTAGTACTGTGGATGTTGTCACTGGTGCCGACGTGCTCGAATACTATGCCAACATGGTTGCCTCTGGCGGACTGAACGGTGAAACCACTCAACTTCGCCCAGACGCATGGGTCTACACCACCAAGAATGCTCTGGGTGTTTGCGCAGGTATTGGTGCTTGGAACTATCCTATTCAGATCGCTCTCTGGAAGTCTGCACCTTGTCTCGCAGCAGGCAACTGTATGGTTTACAAGCCCTCGGAATTCACTCCTCTGCACGCACAAATCCTGGCCGAGATCTACACCGAGGCTGGTGTACCTGCCGGTGTCTTCAATGTCGTCCAAGGAGCTGGAGACGTCGGTGCATACCTGACTGCTCATCCCAAGATTGCCAAAGTCAGTTTCACAGGCCAAGTCAGCACCGGCATGAAGGTCGCCGGGTCCGCTGCCGGCAACATGAAATACGTAACCATGGAACTCGGCGGCAAGTCACCCCTAATCATCCTCCCTGACTGCCCCATCGAGAACGCAGTCGACGGCGCCATGATGGCAAACTTCTTCTCCACCGGTCAAGTCTGCACAAACGGTACCCGTGTCTTCGTACCTAGAAAAATGGTTCCCGCATTCGAAAAGCGTCTCGTCCAGAAGATGGAATACGTCCGCGCAGGCGATGTCATGGACCCAAACACCAACTTCGGCCCTCTGGTCAGCAAAGTCCACTATCAAAAAGTGCTCGACTACATCCGCTACGGTGTGCAAGAAGACAAGGCCAAACTCATCTACGGCGGCGCCGAAAAGCCCTCTTTCGCCGGTGCAAGCTCAGAGGGCTTCTGGGTCAAACCCACCATCTTCACAAACTGCACTGATGATATGCGTATTGTCAGGGAAGAGATTTTCGGTCCTGTCATGTCGATCCTTGCCTACGATACCGTAGAGGAGGTTGTCAAGCGTGCAAACGATACACCCATGGGTTTGGCCGCCGGTGTCTTCTCGAACGACATCAACGCCGCTCACAAGATTGTCGCCCAACTGCAGGCCGGCATCACATGGGTCAACACTTGGGGTGAGAGTCCCGCCGAGATGCCCGTGGGTGGTTGGAAGCTCAGTGGTGTTGGTGTGGAGAACGGCCGCAAGGGGCTCGAAGCATGGGTCAAGAACAAGAGCACTCTGGTCGAGATGGGTGGTGTTGTTGGCACTGTCTTTGCTAAGCTCTAAAATCGTCTCTTCAGCGAATGCTTATGTACGTCTGTTCTATGTAAATACCAATTTGATCTGCTCTTCCATTGTACACCGAAAACCATCTAGAGTCTCGCTGGGGGCGTATCTCGGTCGATGTGATGTTGAGAAGTATAGTTCGCTAAACCAAGCCGTCACCATTGCAAACCAATTGGATGAGTATTCATTTGAGATGATAAATAGCAATAAGAATATCTACCCGGCCAAACTAGGTACTTTCAAGACTGGGAAGACGGTTCTGGTGAGATAGAAGGGACGCGAGCACGCGAACGCTGAGGTTCCTGCTCATAGGGCACATACTGGTTGACTTTCTCGATCTCCTTCTTGCCTAAAGGTACCAGTCCCAAGTTTTCGGGCAGCTGGCGCTCCGCACTATGGAATCACGTTAGTATGTTCGTTCATAAGCGCATGGGGATAGAGCATAGCACTCACATGAGGTACTTGACCTTCATTTCTCTGGCTTTGAAGCGGATATCTTCCGCGGTCCGATCTCCTAGCGCTGGGGATTTCCTTACTTTATCAATCCTTTTGATGTATGCAAAGGATATACCATGGTCTCTGATCAACCTGAGCAGGGCTCCCACTTCATCATCAGTCCATGGTCTTCGCCCCCTTTGCGGCTTGACGGTGCTTGCTTGAAGTTGTCTGGTGCGCACAGAGGCAAGCCTGAAGCCGTTGACGTCCTCATCGTCAGTAGACTGGAAAGGTGGCATGAGCTGACCAGGATTCTTCCGCTGTCGCTTGTTCGGACTGTCACCCTCAGAAGTTCTTCGACGACGACGCTCTGGCACAGTACTGCCTGCTGGAGCTTGACTTGGTACTGCCGAGGACCCTGGACGAGGTCTGTTGCCAGGAAGATTGCGCTGGTCGACTTGGAAACCCTCGTCCTCGCTTGGATCTTGCACTTCATCGTTTAAGATGGGGTCTATCTCAATCTCCGGTTTGCCTGACGTCTGGCGCTGGGCACTTGGTGCAGGCTGAGAATCAAACAGATCGTCAGATATTCTCACACCGTTGGGTTGAGCGTCGATGAATCTGCGTTGTTGACGTTGTTGTTCGTCGAGTGCGTTCGCTCTCGCCAGCTGTCCAGTCAATTTAGGACGGTCCTGTGTCGGACCAGCAGTTGACGCTACATTATCGGTGGCTTGCTCGTCTACTTGTGCTGTATTTTCCACAGGCACAATAGCGGGTGTTGGAGCACTGGCTGATGTTCCTGGACGACCTCTGAACAGAATTGATGGACGGGCTGGTATCTTTGTGCTNACAAACGTGTCAGTTGAAACTTTGATCTACCGAAAGTGTTCTTACCTGGATGTCGGTTCTGGTCGAATATTGCTTTCGATGCTAGGCAGTGCTTCAAGTTCCTCATTTCCCTCATCAACGTATGCATCTGGGTTCTCGAGACGTTGTCTGATCTCGTCTTCTAGGGCAGTGACAATCTCATCGATACCGCCCAACCTCTTGATACTGTTATCAATCTCCGAGAGACGCGAATTAGACCACTGCAAGAGGTATTTCTGAAATCTCTCGCGAGGGAATCTGTCCCGCAGTCTGGCCAAGCCAGATTCCAAGCTTGCTGATGTATCAACAAAAGGGTCTTCAATATCACTGAATAGTACTCGTTTGATTTCCTCAGTACGTCGGATGATCTTGTCGGCATATTCATCGGTTCCGAAGTCACGAGGGTCGAGCAGATCCCATTTTCTGGCATAAATGTTGCGAGATAGGGCACTCTGAAGATTCTGCATAGCTCCCATTTCGTCGTCAAAGTCGTCGGTCTCGTCGAAGTTGAGCATGGTTCTCCTGATATCATCTGCGGCAGCATCTTGAGTTGGATCAGAAGTAAGCAGTTTAGCAACAAGTATCTGAGTTCTAAGTTCCAGGGCAAACTCAAAGGTTTCTGGTACAAGAGTGCTGTAGCCTGCCCGCGGTTGAATTCCAGGGTTGGCGAACCCAACTACGAAAGACGAGGGGAAGAAACTGTCCAGAGGTACCAGGGCGTCAGTGAAGTCTTCGTCGGTGGACTGAATTATGATGGCATGCACGAGGATAGCGAGGTTGGCTTTGCATATCACATCATCTGGTCTCCAGGGTTGGATGGCCTTGGGCAATCGCTGCGTGCTTCTTTTTCTCAACAAGCCTCGGAGGATAGTATTGAGCTTGAGGTATTCTCCACCTCGAGTGAATATGGCCTGAGTTTCTTCCAGCGCGCTCCAGCAGGCGTCCAACTTCTGCCGCTGTCTTGACTCCGGATCTTGCGATTCACGGATGAGTGACTGTAGCTCGTTGGGTTGTCCGGTGCGTGTTTTGAAGCAACCAAGAAGTTTTCTGGCTTGTGCGTTGAGCTCTTCGATATTGTTTTCCATTTGGACGGGGTCAAGTTGTTGCAGTTCGGTTTGAGAGAAGGTCACGATCGGGGCGGAGTCGGGGTTTGAGACCTCTTCATCCTCAGATGCTGCCGACTGCTGACCCATATCTTCACTGTCATTCGCGAAGTCGTCTTCGAGGTCCTCTTCGACTTCACTCATATCCTCCGTCAGAGGCTCAAGCTCTACATCACGGGTCAGTCGACGTCACACGAGGCGTACGCATAGGCAATATATCCATAGTCTGTTGACGACCAGTCACAGACGCGGTTCACTACAAGCAACCAAGCAAGACTTACGTTGTTGGGCTTGACGCGCATTATGAGCTGTCCCTCCGCCTACAGTCCTGATCTGACGGTGCACTAAGCGTGGCTCGACACCAGGCTCACGACTCTGGCTCCTGGTGCGCGCCATCTTGAAAAAGCGCGAAGTTAGTGGTGGTTGGTTGTTGTGTTGCGGTTGTTTGTAGACAGGCAGCCACGTATTGCGCGAAGAGGGTTTCACATCCCACAAACACGTGATCAGATCTGACCTTAGCCCCAAGACGACAATTTACAGACACAGATACAGAGGGTTAGGTTTTGATTTGGGGTCAGGATGGTAATTAGGCTTAGGGTTGGAATTTATATATACTGATACTGGTGATGTCTCCACACGAAGAAACCCTTATACCCTAGACCACTGACATTCTGCGCAGTGACAATCGACGGTGGTCTGTGCTCTCTTCTGTCCCGTGTGCCGAAGTATGTTACATGTGTAGCTATGAACATGCACAGTGCTATCAGGAAACGAAGCAGTCTTTTTAGAAGGCGAGCATCTCCACGGCTCTCTTTGGCTACTCATATGCTTCGTAAGATGATTGTGCCTTTTACAGTGTTTACTCTGCTCTACGTTATCTTGGGAAAAGAGTGGAAGATACAGACTTTGGCACATGGGGATGATGGTGAGAGTATCACCCAGATCGTAGGCTCTGTTCGCACGGCATTGCTCGTCGAGACTACAAATCGACGTTCGATCCGTAGAATATGTATATCATACCATATTAGAGATACCTCATCGTATTCAGGCTCAGAAGACATATGGGTTCCATGCTGTAGCGGTCTTGTGTGCTGTTTGAGTGCCCAAGAAAGCTCTGGAGCTGGAACCAAAACAGTGCACACTTGACAAGGTCCGTCAACAACTTTCCAAGAGACGGGCGCCGTATCAAGAGACTGGAACTTCTTAATACATACGCCCATACAAGGCCTAACGTTCGAGACTGGCATGCAACGCGTGGCACAGCCGCCATCTCACCAGTTTGCCAGAGGCGATACAGTTACGAAGCTTGCTTGGCAATGTAGAAAGGAGGCGCTCAGAATATATCGTTGTTATCCCTGAAAAACAGTTGTTGCGCCTCGACGCACCCTTTTTGTTCAATTCGCTTTCTGTCCCTTTTACTTTACCGTCTTTCATATTGTCTTCCCATACGTTGGCACATTGTAATTCATTGAGCGACGCCTCAGACTCGAGCATTGTAATTCGAAGCAAACTTACGATAAAGCTGTTTTCGTCAGCAGCCCACCGATATTCATTCTACCACGCATACACGATCCGCACATCTTGACCGGAGTCCGCCAATATGAGAGTGCGATCGCCACCTTCGACACTCCTGCTACTGCTCCTACCCGCAATCGTCTCTGCGGCAGCGGTCGAACCAAAAGCTCAGGATGGCGTACTTGTAGCTAAGGCACCGGTCGCTGGCGCCGTCAAGGACTACACTGCCATCACCACCTCGAACGCACGTGCGCCAACACAAAAACCTGTTGTCGGCACGAAAGATGCTCCTGTCGACGGTCTGGACGGAAAACCGCATGCAGGACCATTTGTCGACATCACTCCCGAGGACAAGAAGAAGCCAGCTGCCGTCGCCGAGGATCTGGTGAAGCCTCTTCCCACATCACTCTCGAAGCTGCAGGGCAGCGATGCAACAGACTTCGGTTCTATCCCGGAGAAGAATGACGGAGTCATGGATGATGTGAACCGTTTGGCCCCCAAAGAGGGCACCACTGGTACTGAAGGAGGCGTCACCGAGAGAAACAAGAAAGAGAAGGCAGTACAAGGCCAGACTGGCGAGAAGGTCGAAAAGAAGCCGGAGACACCTAAAGAAGCACCTCCGCTCCCTCACAGCGAGCAGGAGCGTATCAGCAAGGACTTGCCAGAGAAGGCCAAAGATGCGATCAATCCTGTTGCAAAGCCCAAGGGCGCTCAAGGACTCGAGGTACGATACGGCGACTTAGGCCACGTCGTGCGCAGCTGACAGAGATTGACAGNNAAACCGGCCGACCTCCCCGACAAGCCTCATGAGATTCCAGCTCCCGCGCCCAAGAAGGCAACTGAGCTCGAAAGTGAAAAGAAGGACACATTTGCACATGTTGCGCCCGTAGACACTGGATCATCCGGAACACTGAGCCACACCGTGGGTTCTACTCTCAAAGACACACTGCCCTACACCGAGGGTAAACAACCGGCACCAGTCCTTGGGGATGGGACCGACGGCATTATTCAGCCTTTCCACTCCTTCGTCCTCGCATTCACCATGATCATCTTCTCCGAGATTGGCGACAAAACCTTCCTGGTCGCCGCGCTGATGGCCATGCGTCACCCTCAACTCGTCGTATTCTCTGGCGCATTTTCCGCTCTTATTGCCATGACTGTACTTTCCGCCGTTCTCGGACATGCAGTACCGACGCTTCTTCCCAAGCATTTGACCGCATGGCTCGCAGCTGGACTCTTCCTCATTTTCGGCGGTAAATTGCTGCGCGAGGGCCTCGAGATGGACAAGGACGCTGGTGTCGGAGAAGAGATGCAAGAGGTCGAGGCTGAGCTGGAAGAGAAGGAGCATCTCGCACGCAAGGAGGGTCGCAGACGATCATCAGTCTCGCCATATGTTCTTGAGGCTGGTCGTGGCAGAAGATCTGGCTCGCGTCACAAGTTCCCTGCCCGCGCACAATCTCCTTCATCGGATTCTTCAAGATCGCCCTCACCATCTGGCCGTGGAGCAAAGGCGTCTGTGAGCAACGCACTTGGTGGACTCAACAACCTTCTCGGGCTCCTTCTTTCGCCTGCATGGGTGCAGACCTTTGTAATGACTTTCCTTGGTGAATGGGGTGACCGATCTCAGATTGCCACCATTGCCATGGCTGCTGGACAAGATTACTGGTGGGTGACAGGAGGTGCTATTGCAGGACATATGATCTGCACTGGTATCGCTGTCATTGGAGGACGTGCTCTTGCCGGTAGAGTGAGTTTGAGAGTTGGTAAGTACAGCCTGGTAAATGTGTATGATGACATCAAGCTAACATTATCACAGNTCACTTTGGGTGGAGCAATTGCTTTCCTCGTCTTTGGTGTCATCTACTTTTTCGAGGCCTTGTACGACTAGACGACGCACATGTCAGTTGAGATGGGTTAAAGAAGTTTGGTGGTAAAATTTGCTGGTCTGCATAGCATAAAGGACATGGGCACACATTGGGGGATTCTCGTGTAAGGGGCGAAGTGATAAACAATAGTACTTAATGAACAACATCTCCTATTCGATAAAATCGCTAATCAAGCACGATATCATGTCGACAGAAAGCAGCACACGAGACATTGCCGAGTACGATGATTGACGAACATGATGGTGGAGATGGACATGCGGAAGGGCCTCGGTCGTTCGGTAAAGGCGCAAGACGCGATAACGAGCGTAAGTGGTGTTCTTATGCGACACATAGCTTCTTAAGATTGTTATCACAGATTTGACAACTGGATCCAGCGTAAGAGCTTTGATACTCAACAGAAGCGTAAGACTTGGGTAATCCATAGACCAACTTTATGTAACTTTCGTCCTCGGGCGAAGATGGCTACCAACATACTCGTCAATGGAGGACATGCTACGTTCGGTAGCAGTACAGCTGGGGTGGGTATCAGCATCTCCAGGGTCTCTTTCGGAGAGCGGGGACTTTAGTGGGGGACACGGACTTTGTTTAATTATGTGAGCAAGCAACTGCGAGACAAGTCGAACCATTAATATTCCACTTGCTTCTCTCTTCCCCTTTTCGAGTCTCTGCTTGTCCTTGCTGAATTGACACTGTTCTACTTTCCTTGTTTCTTCCACAACGCACCACACCAAATCGACCGAGACAAAGCTTCGAATCGCAACTTCCTTATCAGCTCAACATTTTGTCCCGCCCTCCGCTGTCGTGTGCCCCTTGGACCGACCACCCAGAATGACCGACCGACCCCCGCCGCTCAAGCGCCGACGAGTGTCGAGCTCGGCCGAAGACATGCAACACAGCATCGTCGACCCGGGCACCATCAAGATCAATGTCAGCGGCGCATACATAATCGATAACGGCGAGGCCCAATCGCCCGCCAGCGACAGCGGAGTCGAGGAACAAGGCTATGAGCATGACCGTCGCGATATCCGCCTGCCGAACCATACCTCGGTCGTCAGCCACGTTGCCGCAGACATTGGTGGCTCCCTTGCCAAAGTCGTTTACTTCTCTCGCGAGCCGGGTGCGAAAGAGCCGGGAGGCCGTTTACACTTTNTGCGCTTCGAGACGGAGAAGATCGATACGTGTATTGAGTTTATGCGCGAGTTGCAAAAGAAGCAGAAGAGGGCCAATGGCGGCAAGCAGTCAGAGCTCTGTGTCATGGCTACCGGTGGTGGTGCTTTCAAGTACTACGATCGCATAAAGGAGAGATTGGGTGTCGATGTCATGAGAGAAGATGAAATGGAGTGTTTGATTCAAGGCCTGGACTTCTTCATCACTGAGATCCCGAATGAGGTTTTCACCTACCACGACGAGGACCAGGACAACCTTATACACTACACCGATGCTCGCGCTGACGTATACCCATATCTTCTTGTCAACATTGGCAGTGGTGTGAGCATGATCAAAGTCGAGGGGCCGTCCAAGTTTCAGCGTATCGGTGGAACATCACTCGGTGGTGGTACCCTTTGGGGTCTGCTTTCTCTGCTCACCGGAGCACGCACTTTCGACGACATGCTAGCAATGGCAGATGCCGGAGATAACTCGACAGTAGATCTGCTAGTCGGCGACATCTACGGCCAAGGAATGGGTTACGACAAGATTGGCTTGAGCGAAAGGACCATTGCCAGCTCATTTGGCAAAGTCTTCAAGCGCAAAAGAGAGGCAGAGCAAAATGCCGAGGACGGACAACTACAACATGAAGACGGTCCAGAGAGATACGATACAGCAACACCAGAAGGTGCTGCTAAGCAACAATCAGATCGCAAGTTTGACATTGGCGAGGGCCGTATGTTTGCACCCCAAGACATTTCACGGAGTCTGCTATACGCAGTCAGGTCAGTTTTGTCCCATTCCTACATGACAAACTTGCAGCTCACTAATCTTGCAACAACANGTAACAACATCGGTCAAATCGCCTATCTCCAATCCGAAAAGCACAATCTCAAGCACATCTACTTTGGCGGCAGCTTCATCCGCGGCCACCGCCAAACAATTCACACCCTATCCTTTGCCATCAAGTTCTGGAGCAAGGGCAACAAACAAGCATACTTCTTGCGTCACGAAGGTTATCTCGGTGCAGTAGGTGCATTCCTAAAACGACAACCTAGAAACTTTGGCCGAAGGCCTAGCGTTCATGACGAGGAGTGATGAGCTCCTTCTTTTTCTTCTTTTTGGCTTTTAATAAACACAATCTCGTATACCCTAGACCTTTTTCATTTTGGATACTCAATGGCAGCATAGAATCTGATATAATAGAGGGCATGTGCTACAATTTTTCTCGTTTCTTTCTTGTATATTATTGTTCTCCATCAGTGCTCCAATCCGTGTTGGTGTACAAACCAAATCCTACACCAGATCCTCCACAATACCACACTTTTCTAGCCTTGAGTAGAACCCCAAAAACAGACAAACCGCCCGCAGAGCAAAAAGATATCGGGTGGAAAGGCAAGTAGAGGGCCAATTGAACAGCAAAAAGACAAAACAGATGTCGCAGCCGTGAATCGAACACGGGGCTCGTGCATGGCAAGCACGAATTTTACCACTAAACCACTGCGACGTATATGATTGGACAATGAAAAAATGCTCGTCGGGTGCACCTATATTCTTTTATTTCTGATCCTACTGCCTTCAGTCGGTCTTGCGGTCAAGCATCCTCACTTCTCTACCTCAATCATTAGTCCATCACCTCTGACCTTGCCATCCAAGACACCTCCCCACACAAGTACGCATCCACCATCGATTTCCTCTGCTTTTGCAGCCGCAAAGCCCGTTCTGCCACCGAGTGCTCTGTCTTTTTGTCCTTCTTGTATCATGACGCCTTCGGCATTGAAGTAACGCACTTCTGCATATTCGTTGGTTGCGTTCTTCTTGTTGATTGCATCGCGAGCCCTGTCTTTGAGGCTTGCTGCTGTGGTGGACGAAGAGGGTAGCTGCAGTGTTGAAAGATTGTTGGGTGTGATGTGGAGTAGATAATTGCGGCCTTGACCTGTGGTTATTGGGCATAGTGCTGCTGAGCCCTCGGGGTGGGATGGTAGGGGTTTTTCGGTTGAGGGGAGGTGGCACCAAGGGCTTTGGGGGCTGGGGCCTGTGGTTTGAGAGGAGGTGTAGGAGGGGCTGGAGAAGGAGAGATCGAGGTGGTGGGCTGAGTTTCTTGAGACCAAGTAGAGACGGTTGTTGTGGAAGGCTATGCTGGGGCTTGTGTCTGAGGTATGTGTTGCAGGCGGTGAGGGTAGCTGAGACCAGGTTCTTGATGCTATGTCGAAGGTCCAGAGTTCCGAGGTTGCTCTGTCNGACAGACGTCAGTGATCTATATTGTTTGGAGCGAGATAGACAACCAAGCAAGGTCTTTTCGTGCTCAAGCCTGCAAATAGCCGTGCACTCCCACAGCTCCACACTCGGAAAGATCTTGCATAGGAGGCTGAGATCGAGAGCGCGACATACCTTTCTTCATCCTCACAACACCCTCCAAACAAAATGAATGTTCCATATGTAACAGGGCTCAGAGGTTCAGGCAGCATCTTTGCCGGGTCTGGAGGCAACTGGGGAGCCACATTTTCGTCTGTCCTCTGATGCTCAGGTTGAGGTTGTACACTTGCAGTAGCAGCTGCCCACTTCCTCGGCTTTGGAACATCTCCCACAGCAGCATCAAGACTCGACCATGAATTCGTATCTGTGTCAAAGACCCACACTTTGCCTTTCTCATTGAGGAGTCCGTTCGCGTCCGAGCCGCCAAAGACGTAGATTTGGTCGTCGATGACTGCTGTACTGTGACCATATCTCGCAGGTGGAGACGCAGATGTCGGTTCAAGACGTTGGTAATCTGTGCTCTCGATACCTGAGGAAGGGAGGATGATCATGTGCATGGCATTATCGGCTAACTGGAGTTTATCAGTCNNATCTCATCATGGTAACCGCTCGAGGATCTCACACACCTGACCATTATCCATCTTTCCGCCGAAGATGTATGCTCTACCCTTCACCTCGGAGACGCTGTGGTGTACTCGCGGTAGGTTTACATCGGTGATGGGTTTGATCGTTGCCTTGAGTGGCAGAGTTGGGTCGTAAATGCCTTTAGCCAGTGCAAGGCCACCTTCGATCATGTGCTCGACTGCATATAAGACCCCTGCTGCTTCTGCCATTGTTTTATGGGTTTTTGTTGGAGTAGACGGAGGAAGTATGTGGGATTGAGAAGAGAGGGATGTGTAGTCAAAGATCATAACGTAGCACCTGCATGGGCATGATGTAATTTTAGNNTGGGGTGCTCAGAATTGAGTGCCTGGGAATCCAGGCTGGCCTCACAGAGGCTTCACTCAGTGTATTCAAGCTCTCGACACCNTGCAGAACAGAATTGCACTTTCTGAGCGTTCTATGAAGCTGATACTAACGAGCTACGTTCCAAGGGGCCCTAAACGCATGGTCCGGTTGGCAGATAGCAGTAACAAGCTCCATGAGGGACGAGATCTGCAAAAAAAGAGATGCCCATTCACGGAATCGAACCATGGATCTTGTCATATCAACTTCGGGTGAAGTTCTACGAGTGACACGCCGTACCACTTGGCCAAACGGGCCCTGTTTGTTTTTTGAAGGGCATCGCGAACATATAACAACTCATGAAATGATGCTCGAGAGAACTCTTAGGCTTCAGGCTGAGGCCTTTGGCATCTTTGGTGTACACGACGCCAGCAACGTGTCCAGGAGGACAATGATTGCTTCTGCGAATCTCTACGATACCTGGCCGAGTTCTCTGCTGCTCGCAAACTAGCTGCGGGATGTGAGTAATGTCCTGTGGTCATCTTCGAATTGGGGAGGAAATTTGCCAAATTCGAAACAAGAGAACTTCCTTGGGAGAAGTGACACCTTGGCACGGCAGATCAAGCGACAAACTGTCTTGACCGACCATTACGGCTCGTGGATATCAATACAGTCGTTGGTTGAAACAGCAAAAGGCGATCTGGTTTTGAAAAAGTCAATTTTGCAGTGGAAAAAAGCGGCAACAAATGACTCGGCTCTCCCGGATCCCGAGATATTCTCCTACTCTGCCAACAGCCTCATCTTCTGATTACTATCAATATTCTCGTACACGACACACATACAAAGTACTGAACACAGTCCGGTTGTAAACTGCAGAGTTCGTACGAAATGGACACCCTACTATCAACTCTCTCCACGAGCGTCTTGATCACGGCAGCAATCCTAGCCGTAACAACCTTTCTCACAGCCATTTATCTCATCAGCAAGAAGCTGGCCCTACCATTTGGCGCACTCCTCCTAGACACAATTGTTTCGTCGCATGACAACAAGCCGCCCCCGACTTCAAAGCAAGAACAAGACACTTTGCGCGCACAGAAAACGCTCGCTAGTGTAGTCGCGATAGTACTGCTCATTGTCTGTGTTCTTTACGAGCAGATACAAGCTGGCTCCAACTACCGTCCTCTGGGTTTCAACGAGTTTTGCGGTCTGGCTGCCAAAGGATGTGTTGAAGGCGTGCTTGTGCTGGCAATGTTGAGGTCGGTGCTGGAGGGCTACAGGCGACTGATTTCGAGGAGATGAGGTATAGTGACCCTTCGTTACACTGCGGTTGGGATATTCATGCAAGACTGGTTGCTCCAACGAGCCTATTGAGCGACAGAATGCGCTGTGAAAACCACAGTCATCTAGATGATCAGGGTGTGTCCGCGACGATAGCTGTCGGATTTACGCCTTTCAGTGGAAGGCTTTCTGTTTTGACAAGAAACTGTGCTTTTTCGTGGCCAGACATATCAATAACAGCACACAGAATGTGCGATCTAACTGATCTCGATGAAGGAGTGGAGATGAAAAGAGAGACTATCTTCAGGCATGGGTCTCAAGACGTCCAGTCGAAATAGGGTCAGCAGAGAGATGTGTAGCAAGCATGAATTCTCAGAGAAAATGGGCATAGATGTCAAGGGTTTTTCCGTTCAAGTGTAAAAACTTGGAGCTCTATGCCTACCTTTTATGGAAGCTGCGCTACAGGCACGCACCTTTGATCTTCAGAACTCCTCTGTACTCCCACATCTACGTCACATGAACAGGTCAGCACAAGAGGGATAAGACATACTGCAAACACGAAAATGCTGTTGGACTTTATAGTGCTCTCGATCTTGATAACAAGCCTCGATGGAGAAGAAGAAACATGAATTTTCTCTCCTATCCTCCATCTTCTCAATAAAAAAAAAAAAAAGGAAAAAAGACGCCTGTGCCAGTATGCTCATATCAAAAGACTTTCGTGAAACAGAGAGGAAACCAAGAGGACAAGTAAAGGAAGAGCAGACATGAACGGGAAGCCCCATACTATGAAGCAGAGAAAAGCCCCTTAGTATCTCATCAAGAAAAGGAAGTTGATGTCGCGAAGAAAAGAGAAACGATAAGAAACAGATCAGCGGAACTGTAATCTCCTCACTGGGGACGTTTCCCTGTCTGCCGCATACTGGCTAGCCGCTGGCTCAAGTCCCAATTGCTGGCCTTGCTGATAAGGATTGTTGTTCCACTCCAGTGCGGGATTGTACGAATGCTGAGGAGTAGGTGGAGGTGCGCCATTGTAATAGTGATGGTGCTGAGCACTGGCGTTTTCGGCAGTCTTGTCGCGGAAGACGGTGAATGCAAAGTTGGAGCCAGCAATGGTAACAAAGATCAGAAGGACCGAGAAGNNAGCTAATCACGATCTGTTAGTCCATGAAAGTTGAGCAGTCGAGAGAAGAGGACTTACCATTGCTTTGTACGAGATGGGTTCGATGAAGCTATTGAAGATCTCGGCAAAGGCATGTGCGCTGATTCTGGCACGACCAACATTGTGAGGGTTCTGGTTCATACACTGCTCCCAGTTGTGACAGGCATTCTCCAGCATGGGCGCGCGAGTTGCTGGATCACAATTGTTGTTGCTGTAATCCCTTGCGCAAGCAGCCATTTGACCAAGCACTTCGGCTACAGCAATGCTTGTTTGCTTGTCGACGTCGCCACGGATGGTGGCCCAGAAACTGTACAGAATGTACATGATGCTGCCAATAAGGAACATGTTGAGGAGTAGTTGGGCGTAAAAAGAGAGGACGTGGGGTAATGTTGGGTGTGCAGTGATGAACTCGAACACGGTCAAGGACCAGTGTTTGATGGGAGCTTGTTGTTGGTGTTGCTGCTTATTTTGTTGCTCTTGCGGTGGTGTGGGTAGATCCAGGCTCTTATCCTGCTTGCTGCTCACCTTGCGTGGCTTGGTGACTTGAATTGGTTTTGGTTCTGTCTCAGAGTCTGAGACGCTGTCTCTTCGCGTTATCAGGGCTTGTTGCTCCTTGCTCCTTTTCTTCATAATCTTGCGCTCTGCTCCGTGTGCGTAGTCGTCTTTCGAACGTGGTGAAGATGCCAGGTCCTTGAAGCCCTTCCACCAACTCTGACGGCGTGAAAGCGAGTCCTTGTCCTTGTCCTTCTTCATAGAACCTCCTGCAGTAAAGACAGGTTTGCTCATCGTGTCCAGGGTGGAGAACTTTGATCTCAGGCTCATGTCGGGTGTAGCGTCACTATCGACGTCGTTGCGCTCGGGTGACTTGGGCGTCTCGCCGCCAGAAGATGCAAAGTCGTCGACGTCAAGTTTTCTTGGGGTGGAAAACAAGGGGTTGTTTCTCATAGACGGCGGTAGAGCGGGTAGAGGTTTGGGCGACGAGAAAAAGTGTGGCTGAGAAGTGGGTTCGCGAAGGCTGGGAAATGTCGACTTGTTTGGTGATCCAAATACTGCGTAGCTNGCCTGTCAATACCATTAGCTACTTTTGAAGTGGACCTTGGTTTGATCACACGCGAGCACACGGGACGTACGCTTCTTGTCGTTGGTGTTTGGGTTGTTGCGCAGAGAGTTGCGTCCTACTTGAGCAAAGGGCGATCGTTCGTCTAGAGGTCCTGTCCCATTCTCGTACTGAAAGTCCATCGGCGTGGCATGCATGCGGTTCGCCATGTTTGCTTGTTGATGCAAGAAGAAGGAGCAAAGACGTTACAATTTACAAACAAAGGTTGTTGACATGGCAAGAGACGGCCGGTGATCCTGAAATCCGGGGTCACCCTGCCGCCTCCAACACGAACCACGAGCTCACGCTCGCACCACGCGTTCCACTCTACATCTAGAAGTCTGCATCACACTCCCTTTTACAAGTCAATCTTGATACATCAGTCAGCAAACACTGCATTGAGACACAGACACATCTCTGAGTAGAAGGTAGATTGAATCTGAACTGCATAAAGGTATCGTGCATGAGTAAAACAAAAGAGAGAAAAAGAAACTAAACATCCATGTCTTGCTCCACCATTTTTGGACCCCTTTGCTCCCAATAACTCCTGCAAAATTGGTATCTCTTTTCGCGTTTCCCTAGACTTATAAACAGAACAAGAAATCTCTCTGTCCTCTCTTGAATCGAAGATTAATAATGAGAAAAATCGTGAGGTTGAATGAATTGAACGAGTCAGAAAGACTCAAGGTGGTGGCTTTAGAACATGCCCGCCTCGTTGAGAACTGGTGAGCCAATGGCATCAAAACGAGCGCTGCTTGCTGCTGTCTGAGTGGTGTGCATCGTATGGCTGGTCTCGAAGCTTTGCTTCATGCGAAGTGGTTGATGCTGAGCGCTTGCAGCCTCAGCAGAAGGCTTGCGTGAACCAGTGTGCTCCTGAGATCCGAATGATGGCACAATCGATCGCGTAGGTGGTGAGGCGAATCCGTTCAGAGGCGGCGACATGACACTCTCGGGCGTCTTCTCTCTGTCGGACGAGCCTTCTCTGCCAAATCCAAACAGCTTGCGTCGACGAGAGACCACTGCTGCCTGCTCAACCGCATAGATCTCGTCCATACCGTTCTTAAGCGAAGCTCCAGGAGGCAAATCGACAGTATCAATGTTGGATGTGGACGAAACAAGTGTGGGCTCCGAGATGTCAAACTTGTTGATGGCCTTCTTACGCAATGTTTCGCCTCTAGGCTTGCCGAGAGGCACAGAAGGCAAGACTGGAGGAGCCTGCTTTGAGAATGGCGTTCTTGACATTGATGAGGTGGTGCTCAGAGGAGGAGACATGACCGAGCTGAAGCTTGCTGGTGAATGAGAGGGCGATGGGCCCACGGATGGTCTTGCACTAGGGTGCAGACCTGCAGCCCTACTGTTGCTTCTCATGCGACCTCTTGGTTCTGTAGATGGTGATCTGTATTGATTGATCTCAGGAGAAGGCCTCTGCACAGGCATAGCAGGCGGGGCGTCGGCTCCGCTACTCACAGCCGTGCCAATGTCACCGCGGTTACGGCTTCGTGAGCGTGCTCGGGAAGCATCAGAACCTGATCGGTTGCGTGATCTTTCCCTCGCTTGCTGTGGAGGTGTACGGCCGATCTCGCTATCCGCCTGTGGTCTAGCACTGGGCATCACAGGTCCGGGGCCTAGAGGCCACTGTGCGCCAGCGTTGGTAGACTGGGATAGCTTGTCCTCATAGCTTGGATTGCGTTCAATAGGATGAGCTCCCGAAAGACCCAGACCGAGCCTCGAGCCATTGGTCTGTCTGAGGTTCATGGCCTCTTGACTGGGCCTAGCTTTGAGCATACCGAATGCCTTGAGCGCACCGCTCGCGCTAGGTCCTGGACTTGTTCCACGACTTTCGCTTTCGACAATGCTCTTCATCTTTTCTTGGATGGCCTTCTTGCGAGCTTCAAGTTCGTTGGCAAATGCGTCGCGTTCTGCTTGAGTTGCAGTACTGGCATCGCGGTTGTGCTGTGGTTGCCAGGGAGCACTTGCGACGTTGTCGTCAGAAGTCGATGGCCTTGAGCCATTAGTCTTCAGGGGGAGCGGTGTGAGTCCTTGACTTTGAGAAGCAGTGGTAGCCGAATTGGTTGAGACTCTTGAAGGAAGGTCACCGTAGTAATTGTCGAGCTCGTCAAGATTCCAAGCGCTTGAGTTGCCAGAGAGACGGCGATCTGAGTAGGTGTTTCGACTAATCGTCGAGGCACGATCGGCGTATGGTCGATTAGGAGGATAGATGGAAGACCCATCACTTCTGTTGCGCAAATGCTGGCTGATCATGCCACCAATACCTTCATGTGGGCCGATTGTAGGCGAGTCGATGTCTGCAGGCTCCTCAGCGCCAGCCTCCGTGAATGCGATATTGATGGATGGTTCAGGGAAGGGGAATCCTTTGCGTTCTTCCTCTTCCTCGTCCACCTCGGGAATGTAGTCATTGCGGAGAGCAGGGTGTTGTGAAGCGGGAGGTTGATTATTGGCCCCGTAACGACTTGCAGCAGAAGCTGGACGTGTGTGATCGAATCTTGGCTCGTCCTCGCTCTCGTCGTCGCTATCACCAAAGAATGTGCGATTGTTGTTGTCAAATGTTGCAACTGCCGCTTGCTCCGGTGAGTCTCCGTGAGCAACACGATTTTGCATAGCAGCACGCTGGAAAACTGCGAGTGCAGGGTTGACCGGTGGTTCAGGAGCAGTGGCAGCAGCAGCTTCTGGTCTGGAGACTGAGCGAGAACGTGATCGCTGAGAAACTCGGGAAAAGTTGTTCTGTCTAGCGGAGTCGAAGCGAGC